GCCCTGCCATGCCATGCCCAGGACCAACTCTGTGACTGAGCTGTATCAAGCGCGCTGTAATAGTGGAGTCTGACAGAGGCCCGTGGAGTGTGGGGATTTTTTTTTTTAACATTGATTTATTCATTTTTAATCAAAAATCAGATTTAAAGAGAGAAGGAGAGACAAAGATCTTCCATCCTCTGGTTCACTCCCCAGGTGGCCACAACAGCCAGAGCTGAGCCAATCTGAAGCCAGGAGCCAGGAGCTTCTTCCTGGTCTCCCACACGCGGGTGCAGGGTCCCAAGGCTTTGGGCCGTCCTCCACTGCTTTCCCAGGCCACAGGCAAGGGAGCTGGATGGGAAGCGGGGCCCCTGGGACACGAAACAGTGCCCCTATGGGATCCCGGTACATGCGAGGCAGGGACTTCAGTCACTAGGCTACCGTGCCAGACCCAAGTGTGAGGTTTTGCACTTTGCCTAGTACCCTGAAGACCCACCATGCCATGAAGTTTTCAATCTTCCACAGCCACCAAAATCCACAGGGGCCCAAGTGCCCTGTCTGTAAAATGCCCAAGTGTTTGTACAGATCGTATGTATTTCCTCTGATATAGTTTTTTTTATATTTAAATATATATATATATATATTTTTTTTTTTTAAATCTGAGGGAGAGGTTGGCACAGAGATCTTCCGTCTGCTGCTTCACTCCCCCACAAATAGGAGCCTGGTGCCTCCTCTGGGTCTCCCGTGTGGGTGCAGAGGCCCCAGGACCTGGACCATCCTCTGCTGCCTCCCCAGGCGTAGTAACAGAGAGTTCAATTTGGAAGTGCAACAGCTGGGACTTGAACCCAGCACCCTTGTCAGTTGCCAGCACATCACGTGTCGGTGTTACCCACTACACCACAACGCCGACCTTTGGTGTATTTGAAAGGCAGAGCGGTCTCAGGCACTAGTTCCCCCTGCTAGGTGTCTGCCACCTCAAGCCCACGACTGAGCCAAGCCAAAGCAGGGGTCCCCCGTCCCCCTCCCCCCTCGTGTCAAATGGCAGGGACCAAAGGACTTGAATCCCCTCTTGCGTCTCCAAGGGTGTGTGCGTCAGGAAGAAAACAGAGTCAGGAATTGGACCTGGGACTCGAACCCAAATGCTCAGGCATGTCAGGCACGGATGGGATTGAAGCAAGGACTTGGCCCCGACCCCAAGCACCACCCCCACACCCCACACCCCCCCACCCCGTGCGGGCAAACCTACGTCATCTCTGCATGATAGCTTGTCGTAGCTAGTACAAGCTAAGCGGCTTGTAAGTACACAGCCACCGGCTGTGTCGTTTAGGGAGCCGACGGGGAGAGAAGTGCGGACACGTAGGACAGGGCCCTTATTCCCCGGATGGGGTGGATGGGGTGCAGGACGCCACCCCTGGCCACTCTGACCCCTCCGTTATCCCTGTCTCTTAACATTTGTCTTTTGCCACCAGTAGGATCGGGTTAAAACGTTACACTGTTATTCGTGTCCCACACAGTCTGGCTCCCATGTGACAGACAGATGGGTGAGACATCAAACCGAGGCAGGGCAGGGGGAAAAAAAAAATCAATCAATGCCGTGTCTTCACATTCGATCGAAATCTATTCTCGGGCAGCGGCTGAGAAGCCAGGAACTGCCAACTAGAGACTTGGCCCAGCATCCCATTTTCTTGTCTTAATTGTCTTGTGAGCCCTCGCCACGGGGGCAGCCAGTTCTTGCTGGAACTCTCCAGAGCCAGCTGGCGGAGGACACAAAACCTCCCTAGATGGACAAGAGAAGGGACAGGTTACTTCCCAGGCTGGGTCTCTCCCACGTGGGGGGCGCGGGGGGGGGTGGGGCAGGGGTACCCAAGGACTCAGTCATCGCTGGCCATGCGCAGTGGGCCGCAGCAGGTGCAGCCCCCACCACCAAGGCCTGTGGGTTGATGCTCGCCCCCTCCCAGCAGGGAAGGACAGACGGTGTTAATGAGGCTGCCAGAACGGGCTGTCGCGCCACGTGTGCGCCTGCGTGACCCACCCTGGCTGTCAGCACCAGGGAACCCGCGGGGCTGAGGGCCTGGTGTCCGTTCCTGCTATTGCTCAGGGCCAAGGGTAACCGAACTGACCGGTCGCCATCCTGTTCTGTACCTGTGGGGTGGGCCCTTCCCTTCCCTGGAGAGAGAGAAAGAGAGAGTTTAGCAGCTTCACAGCCATTAGCTGTTACCATCCGTAACACTCCCGGCCGGGGCGAGCCTCCAGCTGCCTCCTTTTGCGGTGCACCTGTCGGCTCCTGCACATTGCCTGCAACTGGCAGCATTCGGAGTCCCGGGTCTGCCTTCCTTCAGGGGGCGCGTGTCTGCACCCCATTCTTTCTCTGGCTGATCGATATTCTGTATTATGGAAGGATAGGACCACACCGTGTCCAGCATCCACTCCCTCGGGCAGGTGCACCAGCGGACAGGCGCAGGGCCCCGCGCTGTCTGCATCTGAGTGCTTAAGAAACCATCTTCCATTTACTGATTGACTCCTCTCCCAGTCATCAGAGCGCCCAGGGCTGGGCCAAGCTGACCTGGTCCACACGGGTACCAACACCTGCTGCCTGCCTTGCCAGGCACATCAGCAGGAAGTTAAATCAGGTGAAGCAGCGACTCAACGTGCTATGCGCCACACCGCCCACCCCACGCTGTGGTGTCCTTTGTCCCTTTAGACTTAAGCAAACTACATACAGCCAGCAGAGGCTGCCCCAGCCTGGCAGGCTGCCCCGCAAGTGGCTCAGGGGCCCCTGGGATTTGCTGTAACTGGCTGCGGTAAGACCCACCAAACTGATTGGTGGAAGTTCAGTGTACTCAGAAGCAGGCGGACGGGGCACACGAGGGCTGGTGGGGGAGTTGGGGAAGGCAGGGAAGGGGTGCGCAACCAGAGCTTTCCTTGCTTGAGGAAAGCCACAGGGTGGCAAGGCCCGCTGGTAGGGAGGCTATGGGTCAGCTACTTTCCCGTGGAGGGGCACGGCTCGAGACCCCACCACCACCCAAGCATCAGAAACACCAGCAGAGAAGGCGTGGCTCATGCAGTGTCCCCAGCCGAGCCGCCGTTAGTGACCCCCACGGCCTCCCCCCCCCCCGCCCCCTTAAAGACGCTTGGATGGGGACTGTCCACCCTGAGACAGCGGGAAGCCCCACTTGCGGGCCCCGGCACTTCTGATTGCAGCGTGCTGCGCAAGTGTGACCTTGGGTCCCTGGCTCCTGGCTTCCTTCCGCTCCAGCTCTGGCTGTAGCGGGCGTTGAGGAAGCAGGCCAGCCTCTCTTCTCTCTCTCTCTCTAATTATACATACCCACATGTATACATGCAATTTCTAGTTCTGCAGGCTTCATTTTTGCCCAGTGCTCATTGGTTTATTAAAGTGCTTTGGGACGAGCAAAATTCCCAGGTGGGGTTTTGAGGTGAGCTTTTTCCTCTTGGGTGTGCGTGCTATTTGACTAAAGCAGGATCTGCCTGACTCGGGGCAGGCCCCTGGACCCACAGGAGCTGCTTGTGTCACCTACGCCAGCAGGTTCCTCCCAGCCCACGTCTAAGCCCCCGCCCCGCGTCTGCACGCTTAGGTCACGACTTCCTGGGTGGAGCTTCCCAAGGCCTGGCAACAACAGAAGGTGCCCACCCTGGGGAACCAGGGACCCCCCCCCCCCGGGTTGTCTCTGTGCCTAGACACGGGGCAGGGGCTCTCAGACCCTCTCTGTGGGAGCTGTGTCATTTCTGGAGTCACAATAACCCACCCCAGTGACAGTGGCCCTGAATCTCGTGCGTGGCAGCCGCCCCAAGTTTCCACCTGAACTCGAACTCGCTCAGAGTCGGGCTGGGGGTTGCAACATAGCATGTTCACCAGCTGCTTGTCGCTCTCGCATGCCAGCTGCTGTTACCAGCTTGAGCCCCGGCCACTCCGCTTCCGGTCCAGTTCCCTGCTCACACGCTTGGGAAGCCACCGACGATGATCCAGGTGCTTGGCCCCTCACCACCCCCTATGGGGGGGAGCCTAGGATCCACTAGCCCCAGCCCTGGCTTGTTGGCAGCCTTCAGCAGAATGCCAGACAACCCCTTCTAACTCAGCTATGGCTCCGGGTTCTTGGCACCACAAAATTCAGGGCACTAGGGCAGGGAGCCTGGGTCCGGAGTAGCTTCGGGCACTGCAGTGGGTCCACGGAAACCCGGACCCCCACGCAGCAAGCTGCACCTGTTGCCACGCACCTGTCACAGAGGCACACCGTTGCTCAACCCCGCCTGGGGCAGTTTGAAGATAACCTGAAAATAACTGAAGCCAGCGGCCCATCCCAACAAGGCAGGACCCCAGGCAGGGCTGCTGGACCAGGAGGGGAAGGGCAGCATGGCATCCTGTTTGCTGCCCTGGTGCCACCCCGCCATCCCTGCTACAGCTTTACTCCCCAAGCCTGTCCCTGCACACGGAGCCTTTTCTCGGTGACAGCAAACGGCTCGGCGCCACCCCCCTCCGCCAAGCCCAAGGAAGCCAGCAAAGAAAATCGTTGCTTTTTTTTCTTCTTCTCCTTTTAATTTATTTATCGTTTGACCCAAGGAGAAGGCGCGCTGCGTCTCCACGCCAAACAGTCACAATGGGGGACCAATTTCCTGCCCTCCAGCCCCGCCGCCTCCGCCAATACTGCGAGGGGAAGACGCAGGCAGCTCCGTTTTCTAGAAGGATCCCAGCGAGGCATAAAAGCCGCGCGCGCAGTCGTCTGGCACGGTGGCAGCAGAGGTGGCAGCGGCAGGTGCCCCCCGCCAGGCTCCGAGCACAAACATGGGGAACGCTCACTCCAAAAGCAGCGGTGACGGCGCCAGGCGCGCCGAGCTGTCCATCTGTGGCGCGTTCCCCAGGAAGTGGGGCGACAATGTGTTCTTGGATAGCGAGCTCCTTACCTCCCGGGTCCTGTCGGTGCTACGGCCAGAGCGGGGCCTGGGCGCGGGTGACCTGCGCTGCCCGGCCCACTTTCTGAGCAACAACTCCGTCTTTGCCTCCGTAGCCGCCTCGCTCAAAGACCGCCCTCGGGCCGGCCTCCTGTCCCAGGGCAGCCCGGGCCTGTCCAGGAATGTCGGCATGACGGTCGCGCAGAGAGGGGCTCCCCAGCCAACACCGGGCCCGGCCGGAGCAGCAGCAGCAGCAGCAGCAGCGGTGCGCCTCGGGTAAGCCAGGGGAAGGCCGGTCCCCCCCTGGGGCGCAGCAGGTGGGATGTTGGGCCAGGGGTTTGGGGGGATGGAGGGCTGTATAGAAGCCACCCCGAATGGAGACACCCCCCCCCCCAATATTTGGATCACTTTGATTCGGCAGAGTTGGTCCCCTATACGTGCAGTTGCCATTCATTAACACCTCCCCCCAAGACACCTGCCACACACCCCGGGAGGCAGGTGGCCCTGTAGGGGCTGCCGGGAGACAGGGCGGGCTGCTGGCCGTGTCCAGCCCCGGCACTGCGCCATTGGCAGAATTCGGGAGCGTTTGGGATGCTACCGAAACCCATGACGTTGGGAAACATTTTTAGTGAGCTGGTGGAGAAGGTGGCACGGGCTGCCCCCGTGCCTATAAAAACGGAACCCTGTCCTCCCGGCGCCCCTGTGGCCACCTGGTCCCCAGCAGCACGAAGGGCAAGGGGCTGCCGTTGAAGACCCAGGCTCACACCCAGTGCGGGGTCATGTCCGAGCAGGAGAAAGCCCAGGGGAGGGGGCCGTGCCCGGCCCACCCCCTCCGCAGCACAGGCAGACCACAGGAGGGGGTCCCGGGTGACAAATGAGGGACATTTCAAAGCCGCAGGCGGAGGGGGAGGAGGGGGGAAGGGGGCTTGGGGGGCGCTCCCATCGGGAAGACACGCGAATGTTTTTGTTTCCATGTCCTGACACGTTACCCTGAACCCCAGGAAAGGGTAGGGCGTGTGGTTTCCATGCATCAGTTAACTAGAAGGAACTGAATAGAGAGGAGAGAAATCTGTGATCAGGTTAAGCCTCATAGTGAAAACTAGAAAGTTCTGGAATGTTCTCTGGTGGACCCATGAGTGTGGTGTGGGTGTCTGTAGGATGGAGCAGTGTGTGTGTGTGTGAGACGTGGGTACTTGTGTGTGATTGCGTTAATGTATTTTAATTCCACCGCTTGCAAAAGCCGATTTTTTTTTTCTTTTTCTTTTGGTCCTTTGCCCTTAGACCAGTCTCAGGAGAGATGGACGAGGCTGACTCCGCCTTTGTCCGATTCAAACAGGCAGCCGACGACTCTCTCTCGCTCACGTCCACCAATGCCGAGTCCGTTTTCGTCGAAGGTACGGGCGGCCCCCGTGGGCATCCATCGGTCCCCATGGGTAACCAGGAAGTGCCAGGCGGGTTGTGGGGGTGGTGGGCAGTGGGGCACGTATCCTGGTACCACGTGTCCATGGAAGGGTCCGAGGTGGGTCAGCGGGAGATGCCCCACCAAGCCCGGTCCCGGCAGCAACCACCACTTACCCCCCCCCAAATCTTCCCTCAGACCCCTACACGGCCTCACTAAGGGGCGAAATCGAGTTGGACACTCACGAGTTCGAGGCCGAGTCCTGGAGCCTCGCCGTGGAGCCAGCCTACGCCAAGAAGCAGAAGAGAGAGGTGGTGAAACGGCAGGACGTGGTATACGGTGAGGCAGCCACAGCCCCACGTCCTTCCCTGGAGTCTGGTCCCACGGAGGCTGGCCCGCCCCCCCATCCCCACCCGGCCTCGCGAGGGGCCGACACCAGCCAGCTGGCTGGAGAGGGCTTGGGGCCACAAACCACCGGACGCATCTTGCTATGTCATACCCGGGTCTGGGTGTGGCCAAGACATACGTGGCAACACGTGCTGTCCACCACAGGCTGGGGACATCTCTGGGGACTTGAGGCAGGAGCCTCCCTTCAGATGCCACTGTCCCAGCATGCCTCATGAGGCTCTCCCTCTCTCTCTCTCTCTCTGTCTCTCCCTCTCTCTCTCTCTGTTGCTGCTTTAACTGGGGCACATCAGGGGAGGCCTGGGCACCCCAGGCAGTGAGAAAGGGCACAAGGGCCCTATGTGGAGTGGGGGAGGGGAGGGCGGGGGTGTGTTTTTAGAAGCCAGCCCAGCCTGAGCAGGCAGGTTGGAGGGAGGGAGGGTGGGTGAGCCGGGAACTAAGCAGCCCCCACGAGCCCCCTCCATCCTCCCCCTCTCCCCACCCCCCACGCAGAGCTAATGCAGACAGAGGCACATCACGTCCGCACGCTCAAGATCATGCTGAAAGTGTACTCCAGGGCCCTGCAGGAGGAGCTGCAGTTCAGCGCCAAGGCCACCGGCCGCCTCTTCCCGGTCGCCGATGACCTGCTGCATCTGCACGCCCACTTCCTGGCCCGCCTCAAGGAGCGCCGCCATGAGGCGCTGGAGGAGGGCAGCGAGCGGAATTACATCGTCCAGAAGATCGGGGACCTCCTCATGCAGCAGGTGGGCGGGGCGAGTGGGACCATGCCTCCTGGGCGGGGTTTTCCCATCATCGTCTCCCTCTCCCCCCCCCCCTTCACTGACATCCCATCCCATCCCGTGGTAGTTTTCAGGTGAAAACGGGGAGAAGATGAAAGAGAAATACGGTGTGTTCTGCAGCGGCCACAACGACGCAGTCAGCCACTACAAGCTGCTGCTGCAGCAGAATAAGAAATTCCAGAACTTGATCAAGGTGAGAGCCAAGCAAGCGGCTATCGCACCTGCCACGGGGAGGCAGTGTCTCAGGACTACGGGGGTGGGGGGCTGGAGAGTCCCACCTTTTTAGCAAGCTGTATGATTTTCACAGCTGAGTTCTTTGGAGCTGTGTGACAACCCTCGGTGACTATAACAGAACGGCTGAGGCAGGCTAGTCAACCTTAGAAGGAAAAGAGGTTTCTTTCCGCTCGTGGTTCCAGAGGTGAAGGGTTGAGGGGCTCCTCGCCCCAGATGTGTCGGAAGAGGCAAACACAGGGCATCACCCTCGTCTGTGCCCACACACCCACCCCCTCCCCGACAGAGCCGGCGTGTCCAAATGCAGGGCCCTGCCCCCCGTGATTGACGGATCACAGCCGTTCCCAAAGAGAGAAGGAACAGGCCTGTGGCCCAGTGGTTCAGACTCAGCCCATAGTGCATAGGCGCAGGGGGTGACTCAGGCACTGGGGTCCCTGCCACCTACCGGGGAGACCCAGATGGAGCTCCTGGCCCCAGCTCGAGCCGCCATTCTGCTCCCCTCGCTCATCCTTGACACCCCCACCCCGCCCCCAGGTTGGGGACTGGGGAGTTCCTCTCCCTGTCTGTCTGTCTCTCTCTCTCTCTCTCTCTCTCTTTCTCTGTCTCTGTGTCTGCACTTCTTGAACAGAGTTGACTCCGCTATGAGCTCAAGCCCTCCTTCGAACCACAGCAGAGCACATGGCAGCAGGGTCGGGGGAGGCCTCACAGAGGAGCCTCTCGGGGGTCCGTGGGGTGACCTTCGTGGGGGATGGGAGTGGAGAGGCAACTCAGAAGCTCAGAGCCACCCAGACATGGTCACCAGGCACACCCCACGCACACTGCCCGTAGCCAGGAAGTAGCTCAAGGCTAGGGTCCCGTCAGCTGCCGCCCCCTCAGGCTGGTTCCAGATCTCCTGTGCCCGGAAGCAACGTGTGTCCACTCACAGTGGAGCCACAGGACGAGTGGGACCTCTGGGAGGTGGGGGGGTACAGCTCACCCCATGAGCAGTACGGCACGGTGGGTCACCGTGGGCGGAAGCTCCCGGTGGCAGAAACAAGAAGCTCCTGGGCACGGGTGGGTGGGAAATGGGCTTTTTGAGGGATACCACAGCCCAGCCACGGGCTCCCAGGACCCCCACACGGCTCCCTGCGGTCAGTCCCTGCACCGCCCCCCCCCATCACCAGGACCCATCCGCAAGGGGCAGGCCCACAGCACGGGAGGTGTGGCAAGGCCGGGAGGCACCACCCAGTCTGGCTCTGGAGGGTTCCAGAAGTAACAGCAGGTGCCCCCAGCTCTCCGGAATCCGTGGTGCATCCCCCGCAAAAGCCAGAGAAGAACAGCCCCCAGGAAGGGGAAGAAGGAAGGTCCTGTGCCCCCCACCCACCCACCAACAAAGTCACCGTTTCGGGTCGTGCCCCCGTAGGGTGGCCGCTAAGATGACTACCTGCGTCCTCTGCTCTCCCCCTCCCCCCAGAAAGTGGGCAGCTCACCCATCGTGCGGCGGCTGGGTGTGCAAGAGTGCATCTTGCTGGTGACACAGCGTCTCACCAAGTACCCGGTGCTGGTGGAGCGCATCCTTCAGAACACGGAAGGTAGGGCCGGCACGCACACGCACGCATGCACACACACCCCCGGCACAGGCCGCTGGGGCGCAGCATCCCGCGGGGTACCTTGGGTTCCAGCCCTGGCTCTGCCTCCTGCAGTGGGTGCTGGGTCCTCTGCTTGGGTCCCTGCCGCCACCGGAGGAGACCCCAAGTAGGGCTCTTGGTGGGGCTGCCCCTGGCTTCAGCCTGGAGCTTGTGGTGTTGTAGGCATCTGGGGAGTGAACACGACAGATGGGAGGCCTCTCTCTCTCTCTCTCTCTCTCTGCTTTTTCAAATCAATCAAAATCGCAGAAAACCATAAGCCTGCTCCTGCACCATAAGGGACAAGCCCAGAGATGGCCAGGCTGGAGGCCAAGGTCACGGGCACAGGGCACGCTCCCCAACGGGTGGAGTCTCGGGGGGGGGGGGGGCCAGGGCAGTACCCAGCATACCTGCTGTGTCTCCAGTGGGAGTGGACCCTCCCGCCAGCCCTGATCTTGGGATGGGGGGAAACCAACTCCCAGTCAGGGTGATGGCGGGGGGTGGGGTGGTTTCCTAATGAGCTAGGGGCTAAGGGGCTATGTTTGTTGGGGAGTGCCTGGGGAGGAGGGGCTGGGGAGGGGGGGATGACACTCAAGGACATTTCAGTTGCCTTCAACAGAATCCCCTTTTCCCCCGGAGTATCCCTTAAAATCTCCCAGATTCTGGTGGCAGGGGCGGGGCTGGGGGAGTGGCTAGGCTCTTATGTAATAGCCAGAAGGACCGCCTCCAAGCCCCGCCCCGGGCAGGGACAAACACTCACCCTGTGTGTGTGTCTGTGTGTCTGTGTGTCTCCATCCGTGTGTTTGCGTATACACACGCGCGTGCACGGCAGCCGGCACCGAGGACCACGAAGACTTGACCCAGGCCCTGAACATCATCAGAGACGTCATCTCTCAAGTGGACGCCACCGTGAGCCAGCACGAGAAGGGCCAGCGGCTGCGCGAGATCGCGGGCAGAATGGAGCTCAAGTCCTCCGGCAAGTTCAAGAACGGGCTGGCCTTCCGCAAGGAGGACATGTTGCAGCGACAGCTGCAGCTGGAGGGCATGCTGTGCTGGAAGACGGCGTCTGGGCGGCTGAAAGGTGAGGGGAGGAACCCCCCTTCCCCAGCCCCCTGCACCCCTCTTCTCTCACACCCCACAGCCTCTGCGGGGAGAAAGGGGGCACCGCCACGGAGCAGGGGGCACCGCCTCGGGGGCGTGGTAGATGCCACCTGACCCCCTTGCAATCAGGAGGAGGTGACGTGCCTAGTCCCTGGGGACAGTTGGGGTACTACCCTTCTTCCTTGGCCTGTGAAACGGGGTGCAGTGCACACCAGGGGCGCCCGTGCCCTTCCGGACACAAACCCGGGGGCTGCCCTCGGACAGGCTCCACTCTGATGGCCCCACTGCGCAGGCAGCCACCCACCCAAAGACCCCAGGGTGGACAGAAAGTGCCACCAGTGGTCCCCAGCGCCCTGCTCCCCTCCTTGAGCCCTGCTATACTCAGCCCATGCTCTACTCAGCACTCGCCCCCCAGTTTCCTTCCCTCCTCTGAGCCCCCAGAGGTGTCCCAGCGTGGCACTCAATACCTGATCTTAAAAGGGTGTGGCCAGAAAGCAGCCCCAGTCCCCTTGTCATTGGAGCAGAAATATGTACCTCCCCCCCACCCCGCCCATCCCAGGTGGAATTCAAAACTTTCTACATTCCAGGCGCCCCCAAGCCGGGTGGTGGGCCCTCCTGGGGGCTTGGCTTGGAAGAGAAAGCCAGCCTCTGGGGCATATGAGAGCGCAGGGCCGTGGCCCCGGGACAGGGTCCCAGCTTCAGCTCGGCCTTGGAGCTGGAGGCGTCAGGCAGGTGTGGGAGGGAGACTGGTCCTCCCCTGGGGCGCGGAGGATGGGTCAAGGCGAGGAGATCAGCGGGGGCCTGGCAGGTGCAACAGGGAGCGTCGGGATGGGGTCGGGGGACCTGGGGCTGGCCACCCGGCAAAGCGCCGACCGCGTGGACACCCCCACCCACCCATATCCCGCCCCCCCAGACGTGCTCGCCGTTCTGCTGACTGACGTGTTGCTGTTGCTGCAAGAGAAGGACCAGAAGTACGTGTTCGCATCAGTGGTACGTGTCAGGAAGCTCCATCAACGCCAGGGCAGGGGCGGCTCCACGCCTCTCTGTCCCCCCACCACACACACCCAGGCATCTTCTGGAAGATTCTGGTACTCCTCTGGGAAGAGGAGACGAGACTCTTTAATAAGAGCAGGCGGCAGGTGTTCGGCACCACTGGGTTACAAAAACACATACCTTGGATTTAAGCATCTCAGCTCAGCTCGGCTCCCTTGGGCGGGGGGTTGCGGGGAGACGTTGGGGGGGCGGCGGGAGGGATGAGATGCAGGCTCACGCACTTGCTTGGAGTCCCTGCCACCCACGTGGGTTAAGTTCCGAGCCCCTGGAACTGGCCTGCCACTGCCCCAATCTTCACAGGCCTTGGCCGGGGCGGGGCGGGGAGCTCAAGCGATGGCCTGGGGTGGTCTCTGTCCCATCCCCCTTCCCCTACACACAGGGTGGGCCCCGCCATCCTCACTGTGACCCTCCTCCTCCTGCACGCAGGACTCCAAACCCCCGGTCATCTCCTTACAAAAGCTCATCGTGCGGGAAGTGGCCAACGAGGAAAAGGCCATGTTTCTGATCAGCGCCTCCCTGCAAGGGCCGGAAATGTATGAGATTTACACCGGCTCCAAGGAAGACCGCAACGCCTGGATGGCCCACATCCGCCGGGCCGTGGAGAGGTGTGGGGGCCCCCCCGCCCCGGCACCCCCCCCCCACCAGGCCGCTCCCACCCACACACCCTCCTGCCTTCTGTTTTCCCAGGACCCTCTGTATTCTCACTCCCTCATCCCATACGCTTCCGGTTTCTGCTGATGCCAGCACAACTTAGGAGGGAGGGAGGGGGCCCAGAGAGAGACCCAAACAGGACCTGGCATTTTGGGGGACAGTCCTGCTGGAGCAGGTAGGGGGGTGCTCCTCCCTGCAGATCCCCACCCCGTCTCCTGGAAGGTCCCAGCTAACACGACCCCAGGAAGCAAGCCAGCCTCCGCCGTTTTTCCCTCTGCCTGAGCGCTGACACCTGCCAGCCACATACACGTGCCCACGGGGATCCCTTCCTCGCCCCCCCACCCCCCTCTCCAAGCACACGCTGAGGCCCTGCAAAAACCAGAGGGGCTCTTGGCGGCTGGCTCCTATGTGGCGACAGGCTGTTGCTTTGCCTACAGCTGCCCCGATGAGGAGGAGGGACCTTTCGGTGAGGCCGAGGAGGACAGGAAGGTGCTGGAGGCCCGTGCCAGCCGACTCCGGGACTTCCAAGGTGAGGGGATGTGAAACAGGGGATGACATGGAAAAGGCAGGGAGGGAGGGTAGGGCCCCTTCCACACACACACCCCGGCTGCCCTCCCCTGGGGGATCCCTGCCTGGGTGCCACGTGGGGAGGCTGAGTGGACTGTTCCCTTCCCCCCACCCCCACCCGGGCACATAGTCCGGCTGAGCCATCAGGACCAGCTGATTGCCAGGAGCCTGGCCGAGAAGCAACACATCTATTTGGAGATGGCCGAGATGGCCGGCTTCGAAGACGCCACCCATTTCGGGCTCCTGCTGCGTGGCGGGGACCCGTCCGAGACACTGCAGGGCGAACGGATCCTGAGGTCGGCCATGAGCGAGAGTGAGTCGGGGCGCCCCCCCCCCCCCCCCCCAGGCCTCAGCCACACGGATCCCTCACAGCTCCTGTTCTCTGGGCCCCACATCCCACCCGACCCTGGATCAGAGGCTGAGCTGGGCGGGTTCCTCTTTCTGAGGTGACACTCCGCCCTGAACAGGGGCATGGAGTGAGGCAGCTAGCCCAGCCCCGACCACAGGATAAACCCACCCCCCCCACACACACACACACCTCTGGCTCCCCGTCTCCTTCCACAGTCGAGATCCTCCAGAGCCTGGTCTGTGGACGCCTGGCCAGCACCAGCGGCCACCCGGACGATGAAGGCGGCTCGGCTGGTCTGCCCTGGAGGACAGACAGCTCCGGGGGCCAGGATAGCCCCAGTAGCCCCAGCAAGAGTAGGTGCCACTCCCCCCGCCAACCCCACCCCCTGCCCCAGGGAGCCCCCATAAGGCTGCCTGGCTGCTGGCAGAAGCTGAGGGTCCTCCTGGGTGGGGTTTCTACAAACCTTCCAGAACCCTGCAGGTGCTTGCCGGCCCAGGATAACGGGCAGCAGCACCCTCTGCTGTTCTGGATGCCTTAGCTGGCCTCACACGCCCACCCCATGACTTTGGGCCTTTTTTAGATGGCAGTTTCAAGAAGGGCAGCGACCCCCGGCCACAAGACTGGCAGGGCCCTGCCAACGTCCCCGACCCAAAGCCAGGCGACGGTGACGGCCTGGGCGGCTCCGAGGATACCCCACAGGCGGTAGGTTACCACCCAGATTCACGTCTTGCCGTGACTGGCAATGTCTTGGCCCACAGCATCCTGCAGGCCGTGAGGTGGGCAGGAGAGACCATGTCCAAAGTACCAATGGCAGAGACCCAAGGGGGCTCAGGGCTTTCCTCTGGGGGCGGGGGGGTCCAGTGTCCAGTGCCAGGGGCCCTCTGCTGTCCTCTGCCCCCGGGCTCAGAAGCCACCTCTGGCCAGCTCTGTCGCGTGGACTTGACCCTGCGGCCTGTACAGACAACCCAAGCCCCACACCCTCTCGTTGGCTCAGGTTAGATCAGCAGCCAGGCCAGGCTCCTCACCTCTGCTGTGACCCGTGTGGAGGGGGATGGGATGAGTGGTCCATACACAGTGCCCAGGGCCTCCCGGGAATTGGCCCTTCGAGTGCTTTGGGGGGTGGTTCTGACTCTGCCGTGTTGGCAGGTGGAAGCGCCGGACACAGAGTCTACTCCCAGACTGCCCATGGTCCTGGAGTCAGAGGTAGGCGGGGGCTTGGCCTTCCAGGGGGCGGCACCTGGCGCCCACGCCCCACATCCCTGACACATCCATGACACATCCATGACTCTTCCCCTCCCTGCAGCTCGTCCAGCGCATCCAGACGCTGTCCCAGCTGCTGCTCAGCCTCCAGGTACTCGGTGGGCTCCCGGAAGGGACTGGCTGTACCTGCCCTGCCCTGCCCTGCCCTGCCCTGCCGAGCGGGCGTGGGCATAGCTCTCCCCAGCCCTACTCTTTCCCCAACCCGCAGGCAGTCATCGCCCAGCAGGACAGCTACGTGGAGGTGCAGCGGGCCTCGCTACAGGAGCGGGAGCAACAGATGCGGATACAGTCGACGCGCGGGAACCTGCTGCTGGAGCAGGAGCGGCAGCGTAACTTCGAGAAGCAGCGGGAGGAGCGGGCGGGCGTGGAGAAGCTGCAGCAGCAGCTGCGCCAGGAGCAGCAGCGCTGGGAACGGGAGCGGGAGCGTCAGCGGCAGGAGCTGGAGCACGCCGGCGCGCAGCTGCAGGAGCGGGAGCACCAGGCCCGCCAGCTGCGCGCACGCCTCGACCAGGATCGCGCCGAGCTCGAGCGCCAGCGCCAGGCCTACCAGCACGACCTGGAGAGACTGCGCGAGGCCCAGCGCGCCGTGGAACGCGAGCGCGAGCGGGTGGAGCTGCAACGCCGCCTCAAGAAACAGAACACCATGCCCGGGGCACTGTCGTCTCCGCCACCGCAGCCACCCGAAGCCGTGCTGGAGGTGAGCAGCAGGTGCACGCCTGCCAGGGCCTTCCAGGCTCGATCCCAGAAACCCAGGGTCGTGCGGGCGCGGGTCTCTGAGGGTCTGGTTTTAGCAGACAGAGCCGGCGACTCATTGTCAAGGGCCTGTCTGCGTGCGGGAACTGGAGCAGGAGCGAGGGGGCAGGTGCACAGGGTCTAGGCCAGCAGACCTGGTGGGGAACAACGCTGGGGATTCCAGTGGGGCGGGCGGCTCCCACCAGCATCCACAGCCAGGAGAGCCCCTGTCTTCTGTCTGGTCCGCAGGGCCAGTCCCCCATCCACAGCCCCAGCTTCAACGGAGATGGGCTGGAGGCACCCACAGCGTTCCCCTCCAAAGCCCTGGCCCCCCGGGCGAGCCTGGTCATGCTGGGCTCTGGGGCCGAATATACCACCGAGCGGCCCGAAGTGACACGCAGGGACAGCACCCCAGGCGAGGGCCGGCTAGCCAAAAACGACGTCCCCATCCAGCTGCTGAGCGCCACCAATCAGATCCAGAGGCCCACGGCCGTGCAGCAGCAAATTCCCACCAAGCTAGCGGCCTCCACCAAGGGCGCCAAGGACAAGGGCAAAGGCAAGGGCTCCCAGCGTTGGGAGAGCGCAGGTGAGTGGGGGTCCCTTCCAGGGCACAGGCGCGGGAAGAGTGGGTGAGTGGGGGTCCTTCTAGGGGACAGGTACAAGAGTGGGGAGTGGGTGAGTGGGGGTCCTTCCAGGGAACAGGCGTGGGAGTGGGGAGTGGGTGAGTGGGGGCCCTTCCAGGGGACAGGCGCGGGAGGAGTGGGTGAGTGGGGGTCCATCCAGGGACAGGTGCAGGAGTGGGTGAATGGGGGCCCCTTCCAGGGGACAGGCACGGGAGTGGGGAGTGGGGGTCCTACCAGGGGACAAGTGCGGAAGTGGGTGAGTGGGGGTCCTTCCAGAGGACAGGTGCAAGAGTGGGGAGTGGGTGAGTGGGGGCCCCTTCCAGGGGACAGGCGCGGGAGTGGGTGAGTGGGGGTCCTTCCAGGGACAGGTACAGGAGTGGGTGAGTGGGGGCCCCTTCCAGGGCACAGGCGCGGGAGTGGGTGAGTGGGTGAGTGGGGTTCCTTCCAGGGCACAGGCACGAGAGTGGGGAGTGGGTGAGTGGGGGCCCTACCAGGGGACAGGCACGGGAGTGGGGAGCGGGTGAGTGGGGGCCCCTTCCAGGGCACAGGCATGAGAGTAGGCAGCTGAGGCCTCCCCCCCCCCCCCCCCCCCCCCCCCACACACACACACACCACCCAAGCCAGACCTGAGCCCCCTCCCTCCTGCAGCCGCCTTCGACCTAAAGCAACAGCTACTGCTTAACAAGTTCACGGGCAAGGAGGAAAACGCCACGCGGAACCGCCGCTCGCTCAGTCCTGTCCTTCCCAGCAGCCTCGGCTCCGTGCCCCCCACAGGTGAGCCCTGGCTCCGTCCTGGGAGGCACGGCCACTTGTGGCACCTGGCGGCCGCTGACACCCCTCCCCTGTCTTCCCCCCCGCCGCAGACTCCAACTTCCCAGGCCCAAGCCCGACCCCGACTGATGCACCCCCCGAGGGCTTCATGCTGAAGGCCCCTGGCGCGCCCCCACCCCCCTCGCCACTGCTGCCCACCACGCCACTGCCCGCCACACCGCTCAGCGCCCACGAGGAAGCCAGCAAGGAAGATGTCATTTTCTTCTAGAAGGGCCACGGCACAAGGTGCGTGCCCCTCCCTGGCCTGCCCTCCCTCCGGGCTTCTGGGGACTTGCAAGAGGTGGGCGTGAGCCACCCAGCTGTCCCTCCCTCCTCTTCGTCCCGAGCACACCCCGGACAACCGACCACCCAGCCGGGTCAGCTGCCGGTGCTCGCGCTGGCGGCCTGGCCACTCTGTCTAGCTCGTGGCTTTGCGTTTATACAAAGCAGAAGTTCTCGCCAGAAGTCGGACCCACGCTCAACCAAGGAGCTGTACTTCCTAGCTCCAACCCCGTCCCATGAGTGGGGGCTGTGTGTCCATGGCAGTGAAGGACAGGGAGGAGCCCGAGGGCAGCCTGCAGGAGGCTGCTGCAGCCAGTGACCGGGACATTACGTGGGGGCTGCTGGCGTGGGCTGTGGGTTAGACACTCCCCTTCCGGGTCAGACGCCCCCACCCCATGGGCTCCCGGAGCACTTGAGGCTTATCCGCTCAGAAGGGGCAGAGGGAGTAAGCCGGCTACAGGTTGGACTGCACCTGCCCCCCAGGGGGAAGGGGGCCAGAGAGGGCCCACTCTGCAGGGTGCATTGAAATTCAAGTCTCCCCCCCAGAGTTTTACGTCCCCATGGACCCAGCAGGGCTGCTGGGAGGAAGCCCCTCACAGCGCATGTCCCATCTGGCAGGGTCGTAGGGCACCCAGGGACAGTGTGACGGTGGCCCATGCCAGCTCTGTCAGGGGGCACACACGGGTGTTGACAAGAGGGGCCTGGGCTGCTCACCCCGATGGCCCCAGGTAAGGGGCCAGACTGCTGAACCCCAGCAACGGGACCTCAGCCCTTCCTCCCTCCCAGGCCCTTTGGGGGCAGAGGGCACAGGCTTCCCCTGGACCCGGCAGCCGTGGCACCTGCTGCTGGGTGCTGCGGGCTCAGGTGGCGCAGGTAGGTGTGGGCGCTGGTCTCCGATGGCAGGTGGCGATGCCACGGATGCCACGGCTCGCCGTGTCCGCATCCCGGTCCCATTCCTCTCCCTGGGGTTTCTGCCCACCCACCTGCCACTCTCTAGACTGAGCGTGCCCACCCCTGCCCAGCATCCCACGGCCCCACAGGCTCATCTGTGCCACGTTTCTAATCGGTGTTTTGTATTTTTTTTTTTTTTGTACTGAGAAGTTATTGGAGCACTTTAGAAAGCTGACTGAGGAGTTCACCCGTTCTGTGGTGAAGACCCCCCCTCTTCCCACGCCTATGCTCTGAGATCCCCCCCCATTGGCCTGCTCCCTCGCCAGGCTCCGCCACGCAGAGGCCTCCTGGCCCTGGGGACAGGAGTTTATTCCAGAAGTGCTGTGCTGTGCACCCCTCTTGTGTCGCCAGCACCCCTCAGACCCTCCCCAGGGGAGAAGCCCCATGTGTCTGATGTTGTCAGTTGCTCAAACCGGCATCCGTGTCGCCGTGGGGTCCACACACATGTCCCCGTCCGCCTGGTCTTTGGGAGTCCCCGCTGTCGGGTATCTGGGAACCATCTTGGAATTCAGACCCAATTCCAGCAATAAACGAGTCTGAGATGGACTGGGGCTGACGCACCTTCTGCCTTCCTGGGTAGTGTCGTTCACTTAGCCTGGCCCGCCTCCCAGCGAGGGTCCTGCCACAGCCCTGGCTCTGGGCCTTCTGTCCTCCTGGGGGTGGCCCAGGCCATTACAGGAGCCCCAGGGGCTGCTGTCACAGCTCGCCCGAGAAAGCTGCCCGGTTACCAGGTAGCAGCGGGCGTCTCGGTGCCCACAGGTTGGTAATGCAGGTTTCTAACTCCAGGTTCCTCTCTTGGGCTGATTTATAATACAGAAGACTCTCTTTCCTGCACTCCCCAAGTCCAGCTCCTTGATGAGACAGATGCTGGCCGACTGACCAGAGAAGCTTCCAGGTGGAGGAGGCAGGCGGGGGCTTGACGCCACCCATGTATCCGCTCAGAAGGGGCAGAGGGAGGCAGAAGCCAGAAGTTACAGCGAGACCCCAACCAGGGGCCTTGGGCCCCTTCCCCTAGCTTGCCCACCCACCATCCCCTGCCCACCAGGGCCCCTTCCCCCTGGGACTTTCCTTCTTCACCCAAAGGACCAGAACCGAGCCAGAGTGGGTGAAGGGGCAGCGAGCGAGCAAAGGGGTGAGCAGCCCAGGGGAGATGGGTGGGCAGGCCCTGAGAGGAGCCCTGGAGCCCCCTGTGTTATCTCTGGTAGTGCTGGCCCTAGGAGTCACACACCATGTGTGGGACACAGAAGCCATGACCACCACTCGAGGCCCGCCACGTGCAGGTGGCCCTGGGTCTGAAACAGGCATGGCGCACCTCCATGCCCTGAACGAAGGGGTGTGTGGCCTGGTCACCCAAGAGTGGGGCGGGGGGGGGGGGCGGCGAAAGGAGCGAACAGCCCTCCCCCAAGTGGTCAACGGGGGCAGGTGTCATTCAACCTGAGATTGCTGGGGCCAGGAGCCGCCAGTGTAATAATCTCACGCTTGGGCCTGGCACCAGCACCAAAATATTTATAATTGAGGTCCATTTCGGCTTTTCCCAAAGCCCCACTTGGGGCCTGCACCCCCAGTCCCCTAAACACTGCCATTCCTGGGTACAGAAGGGCGGCCGGCAGCCTGGGTGGCCTGCCCCCCAGGAGCCGGGAGACCTGCCCCTGAGTGGGAAGGAGCCCGCCATTAGACCCTCTTCATCCCCGCCCCGCTCCTCATTCGCCATCAGGGACTGGCGGTATCGACTTGTTCCCTGGCCCGGGTCGCCTGGTAGATGCTGAGCAGGGAGGAGATGGTGCCCAGGAGGCCCACGAGCCACGGGGGGAAACGGCCAGCCCACAGGATGCCCGGGGGCAGCCAGTGCACGGCGTTGGCCAGGTCAGCCAAGTTGCTGAGGACCGTGAGCGTTTCGGACCACACCTGCGCCTCGAGGGCCCGCCGCTTGCTCCGGGGCAGCCGGCTGCGGGCACAGAGGGTGCGATGGGGTGAGGCTGTGGGGGGTCAGGAAGGAGTCCCCAGCAAAGTGCGCCAGCCACACTTCCACCCGCCCACCCACACAGCACAAAGCCATCTGCCTCATGGCCCCCCCCCCCCTTGGGGAACACAGCCACAGCTGTGCCAGCTCAGGCTTGGTGTCTTGGAGCTCGCCCTGGGTGAACCTTGGGCACCTCCCTGGCCAGGGAAGATCCTGCCCGGCCCCTCCTGCAGGATGGGTTGGCTGGGCTCGGGGACATGGTACCTGGTGAAGGCCGTGGGGGTCTGAAGCTTGCGTCTCAGTTTCTGCACCATCCGCAGAGCCCTGGGAAGCCAGAGGTTGGAAGGGGAGTGTGCAGGAGTGAGCTATGAAACATGGGGGGGTTTCACAGCCCCCGGTGGGGTGGGGAGTGCAGCTGCTTCTATGGTTGGGAAAGCAAGCGGGGGTATGCCCCCGGGGCCCCTTCCCTGCCAGGTGGGCCCCATGACTTGTCCATACACACACACACACGTCAGTGGCCAGACATGTCAGGGTGACCAGCTGCACTGCTGCCGTGAGCCAAGGGAAGGAGTCCCAGACATGGGGTCCACCATCCACCCTGGGGTGCCCATCAAGGCTGCTCCACAAGCACCTGCACCCTGGGGCCCAGGCCATTGCCTGCGCAGGTTCCTAACACGTTCCCCTGCAGCCGCTGCGTCCCACAGGGTGGATGGAGGATGTGGAGCGGGAACCAGGCTTACACGCAGCCACGCTGTCTGTTCTCTCTCGCGTGCGGGGGAAGTGAGCACAGGGAGGGGTATGGGGGGTGGGGTACAGGACAGCAGGTGCAGCTCACGGGGACCTGAACTTCCTGAGGGAGGACCTGAGAGGCGCCCCAGGCTCCAGGTCACGAAAATGTGATCAGGACGCAGGTGCCAAGGACCCAGTGGCCCCCTGCATCCTGCAAGTATGTACAGCAAGTGCATCAGTCAAAAACAAGGAGGGGGGCGTCAGAGGCGAGGGGAACCCCCCCCACACACACACACAGGGGTCTCAGGAGTGTGGAAGCTGAGCCTTCTCACATGAATGTGCATCTCCCAAACCCTCAGGCACCTGCAGGGGGCTGTCGGGTCCGGGATAGTGGACCAAAATTAACAGACGAGGGACAGCAGACGTGGCAATGTCCCCCAGAACCAGGGACGTACCTTCAGCGCCAGGGACCTGAGAAAATAAATCCTGCCTTCTCGGGTTTTCCTTTCCTTTTTTTTTTTTTCTAAAGATGTGTTTATTGGAAAGGCAGAACTAGAAAGAGCCGGCTCACTCCCTAAATGGCTGCAACACCCAAGGCTGAGCCAACCCCAAATCAAGAGCTCCTTCCGGGTCTTCGAGGCGCGTGCCAGGTCCCCAAGGCTCTGGGCCATGCTCTGCTGCTTTCCCAGGCCACAGGCAGGAAGCTGCAGCCATGGCTCGGATACGGGACATGGGCGTCAGGAGCGGAGGCTTGCCCCGCTATGCCACAGTGCCGTCCAGTATCCTGGGACAGGGGATCCTGAACAGATCAACTGAGCGCATTTGTCAAGAGGAAAGTGGTGTGTCCTTCCAGGGGGAAGAGGGGACTCTGCTGACGACAAAGCAGGTGGCCCCTTAGCGATCTGGCAGTGGACCTGCATACCGGCTGCTTACACCACACACACACACCTTGCAAGTGTGGTTGCAGCAGGTTTAAGAGGTCGCTTGGCCCCGTCCCTCCATCCCCTTGCAGAGAGCCTGAGATTGGAGCAGCAGGCGACAACCCAAGGCCCAAGTGCTTTGGGGGTCCCTGCCACCCACGTGGGAAACCCATATGGAGCTGCTGGCTTCAGCTTGGCCCAGTTCTGTGTTATCAGGAGGCATCGGGGGAGTAAACCAGTGCATGGGCGATCTCTCGCTCGCTCGCTCTGCCTTTCAAATAAATAAGTAGATACGGGGCCTAATGATTGATGACATGAAACGGCCCTGTGGCTCAAGGTCACCCAAGGACCCTTCAAAGAGGGAGGCAGGAGGCTCAGCATCCACTGGGATGACAGGAGCAGAAATGGCGGGGGGTGGAGCGGTGTGTTCCAGAAGCCGGAGGAGGAGGAGGAGGAAGGGGTCCACCTGCCATGCAGGCGACCTGGGGTGCTCGCTCCAGCCAGCCAGCCGCGGCGCTTACCTGGCGATCCCCAAGAGAAGGGAGACACCCCAGAGGGCGGTGCTGACAGCCCACCAGCGGGCCGAGTCCACGTGCAGGACCTTGGCATCGGCAGCCCAGGCCAGGTGCTCACAGGGATAGTAGAGCTGGTCAGCCATGTTGCCCAGGACGGATGCCCAACGGACTAAGGCGTCTTCCTCCTGGGGGGCAGGGAGGGGCGCGGCGAGAGGCTGTGGGCCTGGGGGGGCGGGTGGGACAGGCTCACCCACTGCCCATCTTAGAGTCACATGTGCCCTGGGCCAGTAGGGATGGGCGCTGGGTGTGTCTACAGGGCGCTCCTCGGTGCCTGCTCGATACAGCGGCAGGTGCAATTCCCAGAGCCCCCAGAACTTCCAAACACCCCCCACTGCAGCCACCAGGATTTGGCAGGTGGGCCTCAGCTCAGGGACTTTTTTTTTTTCCCCAGGGCCCACGTGAGATGTTTGAAGGAGCCTCTTGCCCCAAGCCAGACAAGCCTGGGCAGCCTCAAGCCCACCCTGGACATCTGGCACCCCCAGCTGGGGCAAGGCTGGCAGGCGTGGCTGCTGGATGTGGACCCGCCAAGCTCTGCCCCAGCTGAGGGGAGAAGCAGGGACGGTGGACTGGCTATAGTGACATTTCGATAGCAAAAACCTCTCGGTGCCTGTTAGCCAAAGTCTGGTTACATTAGTTGCTTTTGCACCCCAAAGTGCTGGTAGGCAGGCAGCCATTAGGATGCCTGAGCCCTGTGTCCGAGGGTCTGGCTGCCTGCCCTGGCTCTGCTCCTGACCCGGCTTCAAGCTGGGGCACGCGCCGGAGGCAACATGTGGTTGTTCCACCTACGTCTGCCGCCACCACCAGAACCACCATGCACTCCCGGGAGCCACAGGGCTCCCAGCTCCCCAGTTTCCACTTTGGCCCTTGTGGCAATCTGGGAAGTAAACCAAGAGGGATACGTGCTCTATCCATCTATCAAGGAAAGATATGGAAATTATTGGACACAGCGCCATGGCCTAGCAGCTAAAGTCCTCATCTTGAATGCACCAAGATCCCATATAGGCGCCGGTTCTAATCCCGGAGGCCATGCTTCCCTTCCAGCTCCCTGTTTGTGTGTGGCCTGGGAAAGCAATCGAGGACGGCCCAAAGCCTTGGGACCCTGCACCCACGTGGGAGACCTGGAAGAAGCTCCTGGCTCCTGGCTTTGGATTGGCTCAACTCCAACTGTTGAGCTCAATTGGGGAGTGAATCATCGGACGGAAGATGATGATTCACTCTTCCGGAGCTGAGCCATTCTGAAACCAAAAGCCAGGAGCTTCTTCTGGGTCTCCCACGCGGGTGCAGGATCCCAAAGCCCTGGGCCGTCCTCCACTGCTTTCCCAGGCCACAGGCAGGGAGCTGGATGGGAAGTGGAGCCGCCGGGATTAGAACCAGTGCCCATATGGGATCCCGGTGTGTGCAAGGCGAGGATTTTTTTTTTTAAAGATTTATTTTATTTTTATTGGAAAGGTGGATATACAGAGAGGAGAGACAGAGAGGAAGATCTTCCGTCCGATGATTCACTCCCCAAGAGAGCACAACGGCCGATGCTATGCCGATCCGAAGCCAGGAGCCTCTTCTGGGTCTCCCACGTGGGTGCAGGGTCCCAAGGCTTTGGGCTGTCCTCCACTGCTTTCCCAGGCCACAGGCAGGGAGCTGGATGGAAAGCGGGGCTGCCGGGATTAGAACCGGAGCCCATATGGGATCCCGGGCGTGCAAGGCGAGGACTTAACCACTTGTGCCATTGCGCCAGGTCCAAGGCGAGGATTTTAGCCACCAGGCTCTCACACTGGGCTCAGGAAAGGAATTTTTTAAACCATAAAGCTATCCTCAGGGCATAGTTGTGGGGTGCAGCGGCCATGACGCGCCCTTTGAGACACCCACACCCCACATCGCGGTGCCTGTGTGGGCAGTCCCGGCTGCTCCACTGCCCATCCGGCTCCCTGCTACACGCCACCTCGGGGACCAGCAGGCGATAGATCACGTGCTTGGGCCATCCACCTGGCAGAACCAGGATGGAGCGCCTGGCTCCTGGCTTCAGCCTGACCCAGATGCCCCAGGCTTGCTGAAGCTGCACCCCACTCCCAGACACACACACACACACACACACCCCAATTACCTCTGCCCCCAAGCCGTACTGCTTAGTGTAGACAAACATGGCCAGGTCATCGAACAGCCGCAGGACGGTCCTGCAGTGGCTGAGCTGCGCAGACGCTGCCAGCAGGCGCGTCCCCGCCCGCGACTCGGCGGGACGGCATTCCAGCAGGACACCGCCAAGCAGCTGGCAGCAGTATCCCAACGTCCGGATCTGTGGGAAACCAGAAGCCAAGAATAGGGTCACCGCCACATGCACCTGGCCATGGGCTGTGCTGGAATCAGCGCGTGCTCCAAGCTAACTGCAGGGACCACGCCACGGAGGCAGGCAGGGAGACTCTGTGGCTCACACACCTCCAGGGTGTCAAGTCCCAGCTCCTCTGCTTCCAATCCAGCTCCCTGCTAATGCAGCTGGGGAAACGGCAGCGGGTGACAGGCACCTGGCCCTCGGGGGAGACCCAGATGGACCCTCTGGCTCCTGCCTGGTCCAGCTCCAGCTGGGAGACAGATTCTCTGTGCCTATGTGTGTCGTCCTCTGTCCCACTCTGCCTTGCAAATTCAAAGCATTCTTTTTATAGGAAAGGCAAGTCAGCTTTACAGAGGAAAGAGCCTCCATCCACTGCTTCACTCCCCAAATGGCCACAACGGCCAGAGCTGAGCCAATCAGGAGCCTCCTCCGGGTCTCCCATGCAGGTGCAGGGTCCCCAAGACTCTGGGCCGTCCTCCACTGCTTTCCCAGGTCACAAACAGGGAGTTGGGTGGGAAGTGGAACCACCAGGATTAGAACTGGCGCCCCTATGGGATCCTGGAGCATGTGAGATGAGAATTTAGCCACTTCGAGGCTTTGTACTGGTCCCACAAATTGAATCTTTTTGTTTATTTGTTTGTTTGTTTAAATATTTATTGTATTTTTATTGGAAAGGCGGATATACAGAGAGCAGAGACAGAGAGGAAGATCTTCCGTCCCATGATTCACTCCCCAAGTGAGCGCAACGGCTGGAGCTGTGCCGATCCAAAGCCAGGAGCCTCTTCCGGGTCTCCCATGCAGGTGCAGGGTCCCAAAGCCTTGGGCCGTCCTCAACTACTCTCCCGGGCCACAGGCAGGGAGCTGGAAGGGAAGCGGGGCTGCCGGGATTAGAACCGGTGCCCATATTGGATCCCGGGCGTGCAAGGCGAGGACCTTAACCACTGCGCCACCGCGCCGGGCCCGAATCTTTTTTTAAAAAAGGCACGAAATCTATACCCTTGCAATAAAAGCTGAAAGGTGACAAGATGCATGTGGGGGCCTGGTGCCGTGGCCTAGCAGCTAAAGTCCTCGCCCTGAACGCGCCGGAATCCCATAGGGGCACAGGTTCTAATCCCAGCAGCTCCACTTCCCCATCCAGCTCCCTGCTTGTGGCCTGGGAAAGCAGTGGAGGACGGCCCAAAGCCTTGGGACCCTGCACCCACGTGGGAGACCCAGAAGAAGCTCCTGGCTCCTGGCTTTGGATCAGCACAGTACCGGCTGTTGCATTCACTTGGGGAGTGAATCATCGGACAGAAGATCTTCCTCTCTGTCTCTCCTCCTCTCTCCTCCTCTCTGTAGATCTGACTTTGTGATAAAAATAAATAAATCTTTTTTAAAAAATGCATGTGGGATAAAGGGTCGTCGGGGCTTCAAAGGCAGTGTGGGAGTCTCCCAAGGGTGCTGGCTCACAGCCCGTGGGGAGTGAGTGACAGGGACCAGAACTCAAAGGCTTTCTCACCTTCCAGGGCCTCTCTCCGCTCGGGCAGGCAGGGAGGCAGCCAGGTGTCTCCGGCACGCAGACACGTGTCCACCTCGTCTGACCAAAGTCCCTGGCTGGACGCAGGGCTGGGTGCAGGTGACTGACCCGCGGTGCCGCAGAAAGTGGGAGGGTAAGCCCTGGGTGGCATGGGACCTGGGGCTGGCTCAGTGGGTGACTGACGTGCGGTGCCCTGTACTGGGTCAGGCGCAAGTTGCTAGTTCCTATTGTTCGATGTATTTGCATTCATAGTAATCTCTTTTTCCCCTCCAGCCCTGGCGTCATGGCAACGAGACGCTAGGGGTTTGTTTAGACCTGAATGGTCCGTGCTGAGATGCATGGGTTGGGGACTAAAACGCAGCCCGTATCAGGGACCGGGGAAGAGGAGTCCCTGGCTGCTCCACGTCCATCCTGCTCCCTGCTTGTGGCCTGGGGAAAGCAGCGGATGGGGCCAAGTGCTGGGGTCCCTGCCAATCACGGGGGTGGTCGGGGGCGGGGGGCAGACCCGGACCTGGCCAGACCCCTCGCCGTCTCAGGCAATTTTTCGGGGGGTGGGGGCGTAGGGGGGGAGGGGGTGGAAAGCGAAGCAACAGGTGGGCGTGTCCATGGAAAACTCTCGTGAAGACTTCCGCAAACTCCGGAGCAACTTTTCCGTCCTGGTTTCCAGTCGGGGTGGTGGAAACCAGGCTGACATCCGGAGCGAACCCGCTCCCTCCCAGGCAGGCCTTGAGCTCCCCACCTCCAACCCCCGGGGGTCCTCCGACCCCCTCAACCTCACCAGGCGGTCCCGGCCCCTGTAGGACTCCAGCGCCGCAGCCACCTCGCTCAGCGCCGCCATGGTAACTCCTCCTTGATGGCACCGCGCCTCTCTGTGCGCAGGCGCGGCGCCCGCCCTTTGTCCCTGCACCCCAACTCTCCATGGCACGAGCTGGCCTCGGGTCCGTCCGTCCGTCCGTCCACCCGCCGCGCCCAGGAAGGCCTCCCTGGGTAAACTCTGCAGCACGGAGCGTCCTGTGCCCTGGCTCTTCCTCCTCCTCCTCCTCCAGGGCCGCTTGCACCTGCTGCAGGGATGGGGAGGGGAGGGGGCGCGCCTGGCCGTCGCATCCCCTCAAGACATCTCTATAAAGCTTAGCAGAAAGTACAGGGCGTTCTGGAAGGATGAGTCAGGATGTAAGCCAAGGGTGACCCAGGGAAAGGAAGTGTTCCCTTTATGCCGTTTTGTAATTCTCTAACGTTATGCAAGATCCCACTGGTTCTGGCAAAGTGACAGGTGTGTCTTTTCCCAGCACCTGTTTGTTGACTTAGCCAGAGCCAGGAGCCTGTGTTTCCCGCGTGGGTGGCAGGGGCCCAGGGATGTGGCATCAAGGCCCGCTGCCTCCCACGCATGTCGGTGTGGTGCAGGAGAACCTGGCACTCCAGGAGGGATCTGAGCCACAGGGTGCCCACCTTGCCAAGGCTGCCATTTCCCCCACCGTATCACAGCGCTCACCCCTTAAGAGTTTCTCATTGTTATTTATTTTGAAAAGATTTCTTTTTTTTTTTTTTTTTTTTGGAAAGTCACATTTTACAAGAGAGAAAGAGACAGAAAGATCTTCCATCTGCTGGTTCCTATGACTGCCATGGCCGGAGCTGAGCCAGCTCGAAGCTGGGAGGTGGGAACTGCCAGCCCAGCCTCCCACATGGGTGCAGGGACCAAGCTCTTAGGTCAATGCTTTCCCACGTTCATTGGCAGGGAGCTACGCTGGGAGAGGAACAGCAGGAAATTTTTTAACCAGTATTCACATGAGGTGCCAGCCTCGCATTTAAACGACTTAGAGAGCTGTACTATGGGCCCAGCGCCATGACCTAGCGGCTAAAGTCCTCACATTGAGGGCTCCGGGATCCCCTATGGATGCCAGTTCTAATCCCGGCAGCTCCACTTCCCATCTAGCTCCCTGCTTGTGGCCTGGGAAAGCAGTGGAGGATGGCCCAAAGCCTTGGGACCCTGCACCCGCGTGGGAGACCCAGAAGAGGCTCCTGGCTTCGGATTGGCGCAGCACCGGCCGCTGTGCTCACTGGGGAGTGAATCATCGGATGGAAGATTTTCCTCTCTGTCTCTCCTCCTCTCTGTATATCTGACTTTCCAATAAAAATACATAAATAAATAAATAGGTAAGCCAAAGCCCAGATCCAAACAAGACAGGTTTGGCCTCAGTCTGCAGCCCGGGCTGTCCCGGCTGTAACTGTGCCAGGCAGTGCCAGGCCAGAGTCCAGGCCTCCCCAGACAACCTGTCCTGAACTCTGCAGTCAAACATCCCAGCTCTCCAGGGATTGGCCGTGTGCTGAGCAAGGGGCGGGACCTGGAGCATCAGTCACAGACTGCTCTTGGCGTGTTTGCTAGGAACTGGCTGGGCCTGCCCAGCTAGAGCCCCTAGCTGGGCATAAACACTTGAGGGTACCCAAGGCCGGAGCCCAACCAGGCCATTCTCTGACCTGCAGTGGTGCCAGCCGAAAGAAGCCCGCCCAGGAGAGCCATGTCTGAACAACACCAGCATGCGTCGTTGCCCCCTGGCAGCTCCGGTGCCCTTCAGCGCTTCCCCACTCCGGTCATGTCCACATAATAAAGAATAGCAATGGCTGGGCCTGGCGCTGTGGCTTAGCAGCTAAAGTCCTCGCCTTGATAGGGGCGCTGTTTCTAATCCCGGCTGCTCCGCTTCCCATCCAGCTCCCTGCTTGTGGCCTGGGAAAGCAGTGGAGGACGGCCCAAAGCCTTGGGACCCTGCACCCGCGTGGGAGACCTGGAAGAGGCTCCTGGCTTCGGATAGGCACAGCTCCAGCCGTTGCGCTCACTTGGGGAGTGAATCATTGGACGGAAGATCTTCCTCTCTGTCTCTCCTCCTCTCTGTATATCTGACTTTGAGATAAAAACAAGATAAATCTTTAAAAAAAATAAAGAATAGCAATGGCAGCCTAACTCCTCCTGACTTCCTGTTGGCACCCAGCCCCTGCCCACTGGGTGCCCATTTACCAGCAGGCAGAGATACCAAGCTGGCAGGTTCCTGGCTGAGCTGGGCAAGGCTGGGTTGAAGGCTGGCAGGAAATGACCCAGCCTGAATTCAGTGGACCTAAGATGGTTTTCCTGAACTCAGTGAGCGGAAAGCCAGGCAGGGTGAGACCCTCGGCTTGATTCACCTGCCTTATATCTTGGGTTCTCTCGCATGTTGCTTCATTTTTATTGAATCCTATTTGAAAGTGCAGGGGCAGGGAATGGCATGGTGGCTCAGTAGGCTAATCCTCCACCTGCAAGCGTGGCATTCTATATGGGCGCCGGTTCATGTCCCGGCTGCTCCACTTCCCATCCAGCTCCCTGCCTGTGGCCTGGGAAAGCAGTGGAGGACGGCCCAAGGCCTTGGGACCCTGCACCTGTGTGGGAGACCTGAAAGAAGCTCCTGGCTCCTGGCTTAGGATTGGCTCAGCTCTGGCCTTTGCGGCCGCTTGGGGGACAAACCATCGGACGGAAGATCTTCCTCTCTTCTCTTCTCTGTAGATCTGACTTTCCAATAAAAATAAAGTAGCTCTAAAACAAAACAATTCGATATGCATCCAAGCAGATCAAAGACACCTGCCACAGTCTCAGATCCTGTAGGAACTCCTTGCCAGGCAGCACCAAGCTGTGCTGTGCCTAGGATCCCTGGGGGCAGGGGAGGAGGGTGGGCAAGGCTGAGGGGTGGGTGGAGCCAGGGCGTGGGCGGGATCATGGGTGTGTGGAGCCACTTGGTGGGCGAAGCCTCTGATGGGCAGAGCTGTGAGTGGGTGGCATCACGGCTGGTGGCGCTAGGTGTGGGTGGAGTCATTTGGTGGGTGGAGCTGTACGTAGGCATGGCTTGTGAGTGGGAGGTGAGGGGCATGGGTGGGCAGAACCACAAGTGGGAGGCACAGTGGTTTATGCTCTCTGTGGCTGGATGCCTCAGCTTAAATTTGTCCAGTTAAAACAGAACTGACCCAGCAATTGAAACGACCGGCATGTGCATAAGCTGATTGGGGTGATGGACTGTGCCAGACCCTGTATTGGCAAACTCACAGAAGAATCAAGTCTGAGGGGCCTGGTGCGATGGCGCAGTGGTTAAGGTCCTCGCCTTGCACGCCCAGGATCCCATACTGGTGCCAGTTCTAATCCCGGCAGCCCCGCTTCCCTTCCAGCTCCCTGCCTGTGGCCCAGGAGAGCAGTCGAGGACGGCCCAAGGCTTTGGGACCCTGCACCTGTGTGGGAGACCTGGAAGAGGCTCCTGGCTTCGGATTGGCTCAGCTCCAGCCATTGCGGCCGCCTGGGAAGTGAATTATCGGATGGAAGATCTTCCTCTCTGTCTCTCCTCTCTGTATATCCGCCTTTCCAATAAAAATAAAATAAATCTTAAAAACAAAATCAAGTCTGGGATCACCTCAGACAAAGTTTCTTTGGGGATCCCTCCAACTGAACTGCTGATCTCAGAACCCCAAACCATGAAGAGACTATGTCAGCCAGTGGATTCGGAATAGATTTCATCGCGATTGGAAACGGTGAGATTGGCAGCAAATCAGAACTGTTGAACTATCAAAACCGCTTGAGCAGGACCCTCGGAGCGTGCCTCACATTGGGGACCTGGGATGGGTGCGAGGCTGGGTGGGGCTTCTCCCTTTGTTTCTCCCCTGACCCCAGATACAGGGGGGAAAAATGATAATATTGGTGTGGTCCAGGCCCCCGTGCCTTCCTAGCGGCGGGAGGGAACACCCGTTTAAGTACCCCTTAGAGGTGGTCTGTGGCGACCTCAGGAGGGGCAGCGGCTCCTCCTGCGTGGAACTCAAGGACTTGCGGCCATCGCCCCGGTTGGACAGGTGCAGCCCGTACCCCCTTAGCCGGCAGTTCCATTTGAAGTCCCTCCAGGTGAGTCGTTGTGCAGGCCTCTGGGCCCCTCAGGCTAACCCCAGAGGTGCTGGCTTGGGGGGCAGTGTGAGGGGAAGGGGTCATTGTGACAGCATGGACAAGGGGGAGCCCCAAGGGTCACAGAGAAGGTGGCTGGGCCACACTCCGATGCAGCAGCGCGGAGGGGACATGTGAGAGACCAGGGGGTGTTGGGGAGACTCAGTGTCCGGCTGGATTACCCCCCGCATTTCTTTGTCTGTAAAGCCTGGGCCCCCATGAGCAAACAGGGAAACTGAGGCTCGTAAGGGTTCAGCCAGTTGTTCCCCCACTTAGCCAGCCTGTGAGCTTGGTCATCAGATGGTCCCATACACCGTTTCGGAATCTTCTTTTTAGATCTGTGTTTATTCGACAGAGAGGCAAGGAGAAGCGCTTCTATCCGCTGGTTCACTCCCCTGTCTCTGCTTCCCCGGCGGGCAGGTCCGGGCGCTGTTCCAGTTTCCTCGCGGTCCGGCACACCGAAAGGAGTAGAAGGCAGCTCCCCGCATCCCTCCAGCACGTGGCACAGCCCCACCATGGCAGCGGCGGGCACGGTGGAGCCGTGCGCCTCGCCCTCGGAGCTGCGCGACTTTCTCAAAGCCTCACACTTCAGCGTGGGGCACGACGCGCGGCTGCACCGCGGCTTCCAGCAATCCAGGTCGCACCAGGACTTCCCGGCCCACGCCCAGGTCGTTGCCACCCGCCCGGCACCCACGCAGGGTCCGCCGCCTCTCGCGCGGCTCTTGCAGGTGGACGCGCGCTGGGCGGACCAGGAGCATCTGGCGGAGACGCGCCGCGCATTCCCGCCGCCGCCGCTGCCGTCACCGGCTGAGCAGGAGCGCGCGCCCATCGTGCCCGGAGCACCCCTCGGGCACGCGATCCTGGGCACGGGTGGGCGCACCGTCATCCCCAGCTCCCGTGCCACCTACGGCTGGCCCGAGCTGCCGGCGGGGAGCGCGCGCGAGCACATCCGCGGCGCGCGCCTCCTCTTCGCGCGCGACTCGGTGCCATCCGGCGACCCGGACAAACTGCGCTTCCCATTCACCACGTACCGTGCCCTCTTTCCGCCCTACGACGTGTGCCCGCAGCCCCCCACGCCCTGCTACCACCTCGGTGAGATGTGTTGCACGAGCTGGGGGCGGGAGTCAAGGACACCTGCCATGCCCCAGGACAGCCCCCCAACAGCAGAAACTGAACCAACTTCCAATGTGAATATTTACCCCCCCCCGGGGGGGGCGGTGTCTTAGAAACCCTTGGACCTGCCTGGACCCTCGGCTTCTCCATTCTGTGTAGCCCTTCTGGTGGGCCTCTGGCATGAATGCCTAAGTCGCCTCTTGCCCCCCTCCCTCCCCATCCCCAATCTTGCCAACCCCTCCCCAACTCAGTTGTGTCACCCCAGAGCCAAACTGATCTGTGCCAGCCTCACTTGCGGCATCCGAAGAATGGATGCCACCACAGGGCCCAGCTCCAAAGCACACGTGAAGGGCAGCCTGTAGTTTGAGTCCCTCCCAGGTGGGCATTGCCCTGTCCAGAGCACACCCAGGCGTAACTGATGACTCCAGGTTGGAACCCTGGGTGTCCGCGGTGTCTAGCCTGTCGCTTAACCTTTGGGTGGCTGAGGGAGGCAGACCCCAGAGCGTGGGGCGGAACACTGGGCGCCTCGCTGCTGTTTTGGGTAAGGGGCTCTTTTCAATTTCCAGTGTTTTCTGAAAGTCAAGACTGAGCAGTGGCTGCCTAGCTCTCCTTCCAGGCCAGGGTTGAGATGCAAGGGGTGTGTGTGTGTGTGTGTGTGTAGCAGGGTGCCTCAGGTCACAGGGGCTCCATTCATTTCTCTCTCTCCCATCTTGCCTGGTCCTAGGGGGCCCGAATACTCTCCGGTGGGACTACTGCAAACGAGACAACACCACCTACCAGAGACTATTCCAGGCTCTGCCGGGCCCACCTGCCTTGATGTGTAGGAGGGTAAACTGAGGCTGGGCTGCAGATCGCTGGGGTAGGTGGCAGTGGGGGCCGGGTGCACAGCACCTGCCCACCCACCCACTCACCCACCAGGATTCCTCCAGCGTGCAACTGGGAGACGACAAGGCCGGCTACGGGCTGCTGCGTTCTGAACAGAAGCAGTTCTACAGCCCCCAGGACCTATCCCCAGACAGGTACCCAAGGGGCCACTGCCTCCCTGGCCAAGGGGTGTCGGGGGGTCGGGGGGTAAGGGAGTTATGTCAGTAAGAGCTCCAGATCTGCCACTGTTGGCACCCCCCTCAAGGCTTGCCCCACACTCCCCACCACCCCCTATGGTGGTCCCAAGAGGGTCCCAAGAGGACTAGGAGGAAACCCATCAATGCTTACTTGAAGGTACGACAAGACCCAGGCAGTGGCCCACATCCACCGCGTGAACATTTGTCCTGGAGATGGCTGCTTTCACGGCAGGACCACCAAGGCTGAGCACTTCTACCCCCGAGAGCCAGGTGAGGAGGGGGATTTGCCCCCCTCATCCCACCCCACCTGCTCCTGGGAAACTGCGAGTCGCTCAACTCGGACTGTGCCACCCACAGAACCTTTTGTGCTCCACCATGATCGGACGCCAGAGTCGCACATCCTGAAAGGAAACTGGCATCCCGGCCCCGGCAGCCTGGATACCTGCACGCAGTCTTTCTACGGCCAGGTTGGTGGGCAGGAGGGCCAGCAGGTGGCTGGCAGGAGGGAGGGTCAGCAGGTGCCTGTGGGAGTGAGGGAGGGCCAGCAAGTGCCTGTGGGAGTGAGGGAGGGCCAGCAGGTGGCTGGTGGGAGGGAGGGTCAGCAGGTGGCTCATGGGAGGGAGGGAGGGTCAGCAGGTGGCTCATGGGAGGGAGGGAGGGTCAGCAGGTGGCTCATGGGAGGGAGGGAGGGTCAGCAGGTGGCTCATGGGAGGGAGGGAGGGTCAGCAGGTGGCTCATGGGAGGGAGGGAGGGTCAGCAGGTGGCTCATGGGAGGGAGGGAGGGTCAGCAGGTGGCTCATGGGAGGGAGGGAGGGTCAGCAGGTGGCTCATGGGAGGGAGGGAGGGTCAGCAGGTGGCTCATGGGAGGGAGGGAGGGTCAGCAGGTGGCTCATGGGAGGGAGGGAGGGTCAGCAGGTGGCTCATGGGAGGGAGGGAGGGTCAGCAGGTGGCTCATGGGAGGGAGGGAGGGTCAGCAGGTGGCTCATGGGAGGGAGGGAGGGTCAGCAGGTGGCTCATGGGAGGGAGGGAGGGTCAGCAGGTGGCTCATGGGAGGGAGGGAGGGTCAGCAGGGTCAGCAGGTGGCTCATGGGAGGGAGGGAGGGTCAGCAGGTGGCTCATGGGAGGGAGGGAGGGTCAGCAGGTGGCTGGTGGGAGTGAGGGAGGGTCAGCAGGTGCCTGTGGGAGTGAGGGAGGGGCTGGGGGGAGGTACCTGTTGTGTCCCTCCCCCTGGACAGCTCCCCCCACTCCTCCCCTGGACATCAGGGACACCACAGCTTCCCACATGCCCCGTGGTCCTCCCTGCAGCCTCCGGCCCTGACGCAGCCGCCCAGCCGCCACGTGAGCCACGACAGGCTGCAGGGTCACATCATCCTGGGGGAGGAGAAGCTGCTCAGCCACTTCTTCCAGACCACCATGGGCTCTGACTACTTGCCCCCAGACAAGGGGCGGCCGAAGATAGAGCCCACCCTCCACCTGAGGAAGAGCAGACTGTGGGATGGGGTCCCTGGTGAGCGCCTGGCCCAGGTCCCCCCTGGAAACCCTGCCTGGTTAGGCTTCATCCCCGCCTCCGCCATTCCCGCCCTGTTCCTCACCGCTCTGGCCCGCCCACTACCGCTCTGGCCCCCGCCCACCACAGCTCTGGCCCCACCCATCACTGCTCCAGCCCCACCTCCAGCCAGTCTGACCCCACCCACCATAGCTCTGGCCCTGCCCCCAGCCACCCTTGCCCCGCCCATCACTGCTCTGCTCTGGCCCCGCCTCCAGCCAGTCCTGCCCCGCCCATCACCGCTCTAGCCCCGCCCACCACTGCTCTGGCCCCACCCATTAGTGCTCTGGCCCCGCCCATCACTGCTCCGGCTCCACCTCCAGCCAGTCTGACCCCACCCACCATAGCTCTGGCCCCGCCTCCATCAAGTCTTTCCCCGCCCATCACCACTCTGGCCCCACCTCCAGCCAGTCTGGCCCCGCCTCTGGTCAGTCTGGCCCCACCTCCATTCATCCTGACCCCGCCCATCACTGCTCCAGCCCCACCTCCAGCCAGTCTGGCCCCACCTCCAGCCAGTCTGGCCCCGCCTCCAGCCAGCCTGGCCCCGCCCATCGCCGCTCTGGCCCCGCCCATCCTGCCTTGGTCCCTCCACTCTGTCCTTTTCCCCCCTGAATTTCCAGGCGCAGACTTTGTCACCACGAACCAGAAGATGATGACGGTCCACAGGCCGCCTCCAGCCAAGGCCACGAAGGCCATGCTTTGCCGGGTGAGGGGTCAGAGGTCAGGGGTCAGGGGTGAGGGGTGAGGGGCGAGGCAGGGAGGTGGAGAGGCCGTCCCTCGCCCTGCAGGTAACCCCCAATCAGGCCGAACTATCTCAGAATGATGTGGTCCTTACTCAAGGTCACCGCCGGCTCCCTCAGGGTCACCTCGGGGTTGAGAGGTTATACTTTCGGGTTACACTCAGGGGGGCACCCCTAGTTTCTCTCCAAACCTCTCCACTCTCCAATGCCCCTAAAATATGGTCCAGGGGCTCCCCCAGGTGGGATGGCCAGAACGGGCCAGCAGCGTCCCCTCCCCTCACTCCACCACTACCCGCTGTGACTCCGCAGACCAAATACAGCCACATAGAGCCACCGCTGGGCAGGCAGCGTTTCTTCTCCACCCAGTACACGGATGAGTTCGGCTTCAAGTACCAGGGCCCCGTTGTCCTCAGGACCAACAATACCCAGGAAAGCCACGTGCCCCTGGGCACCCCTGGCCGCTCGGGCTGCTTAGGCGAGAAGGTGGACCCTAGAGCCCCCCAGCTTCCCTTGTACCCATGCCCCAGCCAGCAATAAAACAAAAGTCATCTTGGTAATCTCTCACTCATCCCCATTGCTCAGGCGTGAAAGGCGAGGCTTGGGTGGGTGGGTGGGGGCTGTGCTGGAGGGAATGCCCCCCACTTGACACCTGGAGGGATGTGTTCGTAGACCCCAAGGACTGGTTCAAGCGAGGTACAGTGCTGAGTGGAGGAGGCATGGGATGGGAGCTGAGGAGGCAGGCTCCTGGCACCTGCGCCTCCTATGTCAGTCTGGGCAAGTCGTTTCACCCACTCCCAGCCTCAGTGGACCGAATTGGTAACTCCCACACTTGATTGTTGTCTATGAGAAAGGTGTGGGCACCTGGCCGTGAGGGTGAGGTTGGGGTCCCGGATGGAGATGGTCCCTTGTGACAATAACGAGGGTGGGGAAGGCAATGATACGAGATTTTGGTTGTGGGGGAGCGGGGGTGGGGACCAAGGAGGGAGGGTGTGGCTCCCCCACGGTGAGCCGAGGCTGGAAGCTAAAGGTCGCGCTGACCACTGCGACGTCAGGCCACCAGGTCAGAACAAGGCCCTGGAACACACGGACAAAACCCAGTGAGGCGAGTGCAAGTCCGAGGCGGGAGTTGGATGTTCAGGCAAGCCACAAAGCCTCAAGGCTTGCAAGGTGGAGGACGCAGCGGACGCTGAAGCGCAGGATCGGGGAACTCAGGCAGAACCAGCACCTTGGACAGCGCCTGGCCTTCAAGGTTTGAGGTCAAGATGTCTTGGGGGTGAGCTGGATCTGGGGTGTGCCTGCCTCCCCGTGGACTGTGGGGCCTCTCATGGGCAATGGGTGAACTGCATTTTCCTAGAACCTAGAGTCAGATCTCCCAAGGCCAAAGCCGCCAACCCGAGGCCTGGTCATCGTCTCCACGGAGGAGGCAGCTTGGGAGACCTGCTGACCCTAGGGCAGCTCTCATTTTTTTTAGGGCCTGGTACAATAGCATAACAGTTAAAATCCTCGCCCCACGCACCGGGATCCCATATGGTCATCGGTTCTAATCCCGGCAGCCCCATTTCCCATCCAGCTCCCTGCCCGTGGCCTGGGAAAGCAGTGGAGGATGACTCAAAGCCTTGGGACCCTGCACTCGCATGGGAGACCTGGAAGAGGTTCCTGGCTCCTGGCTTCGGATTGGCTCAGCTCTGACCATTGCAGTCACTTAGGGAGTGAATCATCGGACAGAAGATCTTCCTCTCTGTTTCTCCTCCTCTCTGTATCTCTGCCTTTCCAATAGAAATAAATCTTTTAAAAATATATTTTTTTTAATTGGAAAGGCAGATCTACAGAGAGAAGCAGACAGAGAAAGGTCCTCCTCTATTCGCTGGTTCACTCTCCAAGTGGCTGCAACAGCCAGAGCTCAGCCAATCTGAAGCCAGGAGCCAGGAGCTTCTTCCAGGTCTCCCACGCAGGTGCAGGGTCCCCAAGGCTTTGAGCCATCCTCCACTGCTTTCCCAGGCCACGGGCAGGGAGCTGGATGGGAAGTGGAGCGTTTGGGACTCGAACCAGCATCCATATGGGTGCTCCACATTTGATCCAACTCCCTGCTAATACATTTGGGAAAACCACAGAGGATGGCCCAAGGACTTGTGCTCCTGTACCCACATGGGCAACCGGATCGAGGTCCAGGTTTCTGGCTTCAATCTGGCTATCTCAGAAAAAATAATCGAAAAACACCTGTCATTAAAATATAAAAGATCTGAGCCCAGCGCGGTGGCCTAGCAGCTAAAGTCCTCGTCCTGAACACCCGGGGATCCCATATGGGCGCCAGTTCTAATCCTGGCAGCTCCACCTTGGCCTTGTCGCTCTGTTGGGGCAGGCAGGTTTGTCAGCATGGCCTGGTCCTCTCACTGCTGATGTGTCCTATCCCTTGGGAATGCTTACACATCACAGCCCAGCAAGCCGCCAGCTGCTGCCGGGGAGGGTGCGGGCGGGGGGCTGCTGGCAATCTGGTACATGCAGGTGCAGTGCCAGCAGGACCCCCCGTCACCCCAGGCAGACCCACACCTGCCTTTGTGGCACCTGGCATTCTGTCCTGGGGGCGAGGGGTGGCGAACGCAGCCTCTGGCCGGCCTGGGCCATTGAAGAAACAGATCCCCAACCCCATTCTCCCGCAGGTATTTTTTTCGGGGTGCAGTAGAGGTTTATTCAATCATAGTGCGAGGGGAAGGGGTGCTGGGGGAGCTGGCAGTGGTTTTTAGGGGGAGACATGGAGGAGGAAGTGGAGATAGACATGGGTACTTGCAGGCTTGGCAACCTAGGGTCCTGGGTGTGATGGCTCCGGGTAGAGGACAGGGACAGAGGGGAAGGGGCTGAAGGAGGGAGAGAGGGGAGAGAGAGAGAGGAGAGACCTAGGGAGAGAGAGAGAGAGATGGGGAGAGAGAGAGAGAAGGTGGGGAGAGAGAAGGGGATAGAGAGAGAATGGGACAGAGAGAGAAGGGGTAGAGATGGGATAGAGAAAAAAAAATGGGACAGAGTGGAGATGGACAGAGATGGACAGGACCAGCCGCGGACGCAGCGATGGGGAGCGCCAGGCCCGGGGGGCGCGGTGCAGACAAAGGCGGCGGGCGCGCGTGGCCGGGGTTGTCCAGGCCCGGGACAAAGGCTGGCCCTGGCGGGGGGCGGGGGCAGCGATGGCGATGGCCTCGGCGGGCACGGGAAAACTACAAATCCCAGCAGCTCCCGCTGCGGCCGTCGGCCGGCCCCCTCTCGCTCCCGGGGAGCGCCTGGCGGGGCCGCTGGGCCGAGGGGGCCGCCGGCGGGGCTGGCGGGCGGGGGGCTCGCTGCGGGGCCCGGGTAGGGGCGCACCGGCGGGCCGGGCAGGGGCGAGGGGCGCCGGGTGAGTGTCCCCGCGAGTGGGGCCTGGGGGCGTGCAACCCGAGGGGGTGGGGTGGAGGGGGGCGACCTCGATGGCGCCCCCGTGCAGGGTGGGGTGGGGTGTGGGGGTGCTGGCGATCGGGAGAGGCCCCCGAGGCGCGCGCAAGGAGGAGGAGGAGGTGGTGGTGGTGCGGGAGGAGAAAGAGGAGGCTCGGTGTTTGCAGCCGCTCCCGCCTTTGCGGTGGCTCCGGGGATGGCGGATGGGAGAGGAGGAGGACTCGGAGGGCAAGGGGCGCAGGCGAGGTGGGGGGTGCTTGGGGGGCGCCCCTCCTCCAGCGACCGTGCCCAGCACCCTCCTCCTCTCTTGCAAACCAGGAATTCCGTCCCCAGATGCTCTGCCTCTCCACCTCCAGGCTGGAATCTGAAGCTCAGGCGGCCCTGGGCTTAAGATCTGGGATCCCTCACCCCCCAAGACCCTGGCTATTGTTCCTCCAGCCCCCCCTGCAGCCTCTGGGTCCCCTCCTCCTGGGTGTGTGTGTGTTGGCGGGGGAGACGGTTCAGGACCCCACCTGTTCCCTCAGGGACTTTGCCGCTACCAGGGGAACTGGGGGGGGGGGGAGGCTCCCCTGTTTCAAAACATCTCCAAGCCGGGTATTGTCCCCACACCTTCCAATCAACCACCCTGTCTGGGTTAAACTCCCCTCACCGCCCGCACCCCACCCCACCCCAAAACCGTGGCTTTTTCAGGTTCAGCGCACCCCCTGCTCCAGTCCCCGGAAGCCAGCGTTCCACACCTCCCCGCCTTCCCATTTGCTAACCCCCTTGCATTCACCCCAGCGTCCAGCCAGGCCTTAGCCAACCCGTACCCCTCTCTTTCTCCACCTCCCTTCTTCCTACAGACAGCCAGATGTTCAAGGGTCTCCCTTTCCAGGGGAAAAAGGCTCAGGAATTCCCCCAAGGAGCCCTGGGGGGTTAGCATCCCTCCATGCTGTAGCCAGGGGTTGGAATTCAAGGTCTTTGGAGTGCGTTGGAAAAACAGGTGTTTGGGTCCCTGGCTTTGGCCCTGTTGCCTGTGAGGGTCTGGGGGGGGGGGGTGGTCAGCTTGCTCCCCAGTTCTCTGTCCAGAGGAATGCTCTAGCTCGCTTGCCTGCCCTTCACCTTCCAACTTAAGAAACTTCCTGGCAGCTGGGAGGTGTGGAATTCAGGTGGCTCCTTCCCTGGAGGGCAAGGCAGAGTTTGTTGCTGCACCTGAGAGTGGCTCTGTCGTCCCCACGCACACACTTCCAGCCGCCCCAGCTGCTGCTTGTCCCCGCCACCCCCCAGGAGGACCCATGCCAGTCAAAAAAAAAAAAAAGTGTGAGCAGGAACCCAGGACTCTCTCATCTTTCTCCAGGAGCCGCACTTCCCGCCAGAAGAGGTCACCATGGAGAAGGGGGCGGGACCGTGGAGATGGGCCCTGGAGACGGCTGGGGCCAGCGCCCAGGACCTGCACCCAGGTGCGGAGCTGTCCACCCTCTGACACACACACACCCTCGAGTTGCACACTCATAGGCGTGGTCGAGGGGGGAGGATCTGTTTGCAGAATGGGGAATGGTCAGGAGGACCCCCACTCACCCGTACGCACACTGCGCTCCCATCTCAGCACATCCTTTGCACCCTGATACCCCTAATTTGGGCCAGCACCTTGCTCCAAGCACCCACCTTCCCGTCTGCCCCTGCCTACTCTCACACCCCTTACAGATGCCGCTCCGGAAGCAGCTGGCACCTCGGCCCCTGGGCTACTAAGGCGGCGCTCGGTCTTGGTCAGGAACCCCGGCCACAAGGGCCTGAGGTTAATTTGCCAAGATTCCATATCCGATTCTGACACCGAGGAAGCGCGGGGCCGTGACCACGAGCAGAGCGAGCAGAGCGAGCAGAGCGAGCCCGAGGTAGAGGAGGTGGGGCCTGATACCACAGAACTCCACACCAACTCCAACTCCAGCTCCGAGGGCCTGGAGCCCGACCCCACAGCCCCTCCGGATCCCCCAAACCTCCAGGACCCCACATCTTCCAGTTTCGACTTGGACCCTGATGTCATTGGCCCGGTCCCCCTGATCCTCGATCCGGACCACGAAGAAGACACTCTCAGCCCCTCTGGTGACGCAGTGGACGACGACGACGACGACGTGGACCAGCTGGCTTCCAGCCCCTCCGATGCGCCCCAGGTCCTGGCCCCCAGCCCGGCGGCCGTACTCCCCGCCGCCGCCGCCGCCCCCGCCAGCCCGCCCCGGCCCTTCTCGTGTCCCGATTGCGGGCGCGCCTTCCGCCGCAGCTCGGGGCTCAGCCAGCATCGCCGCACGCACAGCGGGGAGAAACCCTACCGCTGCCCCGACTGTGGCAAATCCTTCAGCCACGGCGCCACGCTGGCGCAGCACCGCGGTATCCACACGGGCGCGCGGCCTTACCAGTGCGCAGCGTGCGGCAAGGCCTTCGGCTGGCGCTCCACGCTGCTCAAGCACCGGAGCAGCCACAGCGGAGAGAAGCCGCACCACTGCCCGGTGTGCGGCAAGGCCTTCGGCCACGGCTCGCTGCTGGCGCAGCACCTGCGCACGCACGGAGGCCCGCGGCCCCACAAGTGCCCGGTGTGTGCCAAGGGCTTCGGCCAGGGCTCGGCGCTGCTCAAGCACCTGCGCACGCACACGGGCGAGCGGCCCTATCCGTGCCCGCAGTGCGGGAAGGCCTTCGGCCAGAGCTCGGCCCTGCTGCAGCACCAGCGCACGCACACGGCCGAGCGGCCCTACCGCTGTCCGCATTGCGGCAAAGCCTTCGGCCAGAGCTCCAACCTGCAGCACCATTTGCGCATCCACACGGGCGAGCGGCCCTACGCCTGCCCGCATTGCTCCAAGGCCTTTGGCCAGAGCTCGGCGCTGCTCCAGCACCTGCATGTGCATTCTGGAGAGCGGCCCTACCGCTGTCAGCTGTGTGGCAAGGCCTTCGGCCAAGCCTCCAGCCTCACCAAACACAAACGTGTCCATGAGGGGGCCGCAGCCGCAGCAGCTGCTGCTGCTGCTGCAGCTGCAGCCGCGGCTGCCAGCCTGAACCCCACAATCAGGTCCGGGGAGGTGTCCCTCTTGGGTCCTGATGGAGCTATTTGCCCTAACGCCGAGCTGGATCCCCATCACCCCAGTCCTGATCCCAAAGCCCTCCCTGCCTCGAGCTCTCCCCTCAGCCCCCAACCTGCAGGAGATCAGGCGCCCAGTCCCCAGCCTCCATCGGAACCCTGCTCACCCACCCCTGAGGTGGTCAGCCCAGCTCTCCCGAGCGGCAAGGGCCCCCAGTGGGACCAGGAGCCAGGGGCACTGCTGGGGCCCGATGGCTGAAAGGGTTGGAAAGGGGGGCGCGCCAGCATCCCCCCTGGGGATGGGGTGGGGTGGGGTGGGGGCTGGGGTTGTCATGTGTGGTGCACTTAGTAAAATTCTTCCACTGCCGCTCGGCGTCTGCGTGTTGTCTTGCCTTTTGCGCTTTACCCGTCCCCCCTTAGTTTTAGGATGTGGAGGGAGGGGAGTGTGGCTAGGACCAGGCAAGATCTGTAAAGCCACTTCCCACAACGTCCCAGTTTCCTCCACAGATTCTCATTCAAGTTCATTCCCCCTGGGTTAGCAGACACCACAACCCCAGTCCAACTACCTCCTGTCCCCAGGTCTGACCACTCACTCCCTCGGGGGACAGGGGAGACCCGGGGGCGGGAGGGGTGTGCATCTCAGCGGCCATTAAGATGACCATGGCTTTGAGCCTGTCACACCTCACAGACTCACAGGTGTTTGAGATATGCGTGTGACCCTATGCACCCGCATCCCATGCTAGGGTTCCAGGTTCATTCCCCCCCCCCCCAGCTCAGCCTTCCCTTGGGATAGAACCTGGGTCATGGCTCGCTGGTCATTATGGCCAGAGGAAGCGAGCGAGTGGAGTGTCAGGAAAGGGTGTATTGTGGAGGGGGCATGGTGGGAGGCGCAGCCCATGGAGGACGCACTGTGTGTGCTTGCATCCTCACGTTGCGAACAAGGAGTTGTTCCGAGATGCATGGGTCCGTGAAAGTCCTAGGGCCAGCAAGGGCAGGTGCAAGGTGGGGGCTAGACCACAGGAGCCCTGGAAATGGAAAACAAGAGCGCAGTGAGGACTGGGGGCGGGTGGGTGGGTGGGGCAGAGCTGACCTCGCTGCAACAGCCCAGGCCCGTTTAGGATGAGTGGAGGGGATGTGGTCAAGAAGCGTTCGCTGATGGCGCCAGGGGTCAGCGGAATCCACCCCTGGCGGGCCAGCGGGTCAAGTTCTGCCATGTGCACGAGTCACGAGCTGGACGGCGGGCGGCGGGCGCCAAGCAGGCTGGGGAAGCTGCTCAGGGGACAGCCCCTCCTCCACCGAGCATGCCCGTCGGCGCTAGGACCGCGCGGCCATCTCGGACGAGCCAGTCTTCTCCGGTCCCCCCCCGCCACCCGGCGTCAGCACGCATGCGCACGGCCGAGAAGGAGGGGAGGGGCTGTTTATCCTGGCTGGGAGCGGGGTGGGCGTGGCTTTTGGGGGGTGGGCGGTCACGTGCGCTTCCCTGTGCGGAGGGGCGGGGCGCCGCCCGGGTCATGTGACCGCGCTCGAGTCAGCTGACGCGGCGGAGGGTTTGAAGCGGCGCGGCCGGGGAGCGAGGCCGCAGTGACAGCGGCGGGCGCTCGGAGCCTGTCCGCCCGGCTGCCCGGCTGCCCGGCTGCCCGGCCGCCCGGCCGCCCTCCTGCCCGCCCGCCGCCGCGTCCCGCGCTCCCCGGCCCGGCATGGCGGCCGTCGCGGGCTCAGGTGAGGGCGCGCGCGGCGATGTGGGGGTGCTCCCCTCGCAGCACCCCGATGCGAGGCGCCCATGCAGCCGACCTACCTGCGGCGGCGGAGCTCCCCCCTTGGAGTCTCCCTTTGGAGACTCGTCTCTCTCCAGGGGACCGTGGGCTGCTTGCTGGGAGCCGGGTGGCGCGGGGCTGGGGGTGGACGCCCCGGATTTCGGGGTTCCCGGGTTCTGATGGCGCTAGCGGAGTTTGGGAGACTCCACTGACTCCATTCCGAGCAAGGGGCCGCCTGCCTGCACCCCGGACTGTGTGTGTGTGTGTGTGTGTCGGTGGGTGCTGGGGAGTTTGGGGGAGACACCCCACCGCCCCCAATCCTGGGGGTCACCTTTGGGGCCTGGAAGTAGAGCTGTGACATCTGATGAGGCGTCCCCAGCTAAGGTAGCCTCAGGGATTCAGGGGTTCAGGGAGGAAGGGCCCGCCCTCTGGCGTCCCTTGGCCTGGCTTGTAAACAACCTGGGACACATCCCAGGTAACGAAGGGAGGGACTTGGAGGAGGGAGGTTGGATTTGGAAGCTGCCTGCCCCGCGTGGGTTCCACCCAGCCAGGTGGGGCAGGTCCTAGATGGACACGGAATTCTCCCAGTGGGGCTCCAAAGCTCCCCTGGGTCCCCAGGAGTTGGGGGGGGGGGTCACAGCCTCAGGCTGTTGCAAATGACCCACGCAGATGTCTCCTGCTGGCTGCAGGGGCTGGACCCATAGCAGCTGCAGGTTAGCCTCGGCGAGGGGCTGTTGTTATTTACATTAGCGCCAGAAATTCAGCAGGATAATCCTGCACCTTCAAGCACCAGTCTCCCACACACACGGGTGCATCTATCTGCTCCACTTCCTATCCAGCTCTCTGCTTGTGGCCTGGGAAAGCAGCCGAGGATGGTCCAAAAGCCTTGGGACTCTGCACCTGCAGGGGAGACCCAGAGGAAGCTCCTGGCTCCTGGCTTCAGATTGGCTCAGCTCTGGCTATTGTGGCCATCTGGGGAGTGAACCAGCAGGATGCTAGATCTTTCTGTCTCTCCTCTGAAATGCAGAAGGACAGAGAAAGAGGAAGCATGTATCGTTCCTCATATGACTGCAGTAGTGGGGGCCGGGGTGCTATGGCCAGGGTCCTGGAGCTCAGTCTAGGCAATGCAGCTCTCCCCTGCGTGCGTGTGTGTGTGTGTGTGTGTGTGTGTGTGTGTGTGTGTGTAGGGTTGCATGGGGCCGTGAGCTAAGTACTGCTGTCCTGGCTTGCTGCCTGCCATGCAGGGAGCTGGCTGGGAAGCAGAACTGAGACTTGAACCCACGTCCTCCGGTATGGGATGTGGGAGACCCAGGTGGCTTACCTGGTACCACCCGGTGGCCTGTTGTTGGCAGTTTTTAAATGAGGACTTGGGGGCAGGGGGGGGCCAAGAAGTTGTGGGATGGGCATCCACTGGACAGGTGTGTGTGGGGGGGTCACCAGCAGGGGTGGGGTGGGGGCGAGTAGCAGGTGTGGGGGTGGGAGGGATGAAGTTACCTGCGGGGGAGGGGGAGTGGCAAGTGGGGGTGGGGCAGGTGTCACCTGGTGGCGGAAGTGGCAGGTGGGAGATGGGGGTGGGCGGCACCTGCTGGGAAGGGGGAGGAAATTGCAGGGGTGGGTGGGAGTGTCATCACCTGTTGGGGGAAGTGGCCAAGTACGGAATTTGAGTCTGTGGCTCGGCGACTTCTAGGAATCTGAATGCCCGTGACGTGGGTTTTTGAGGGCAAGTGCGTCCATGGCTGGTCATGGCTGTTGCTGCCAGCCAACCGCCCTCCCGCAGGCACAGCAGCAGCCTCACGGGACCGGGTCAGGCCGAGGGCGAAGGTCTTCGTCGTCGTCCTCTGGGTGTTTGTCCGGAGCCGAGTGGACTGTGACTGTGCAGAGGGGGGCTGCCTGGAGGCAGGGGGGAGCCAGAGTGCTGAACGCCCGGGAGAAGCCATGAGATGCCATCCCTGGCTGTAGTTGCAGAGCCCACGGCAGGGGCATGGGCAGGCCTGTGATGGCACCACCCATGTTGGGGGGTCCCCATCTTGGGACATGGCATCCCAAGAGGCATCCCCACAGGAGGTGACCACTGCCCCATGTAGTGTGGGCGGAAGCTGAGGCCAGGAGAACCTGTGGCCGTCCGAGTGTGGCCACACCTAGTCGCATACCCTCAGAGCAGGGCTGCTACATAAAGCCAGGCAGTAATGACTGGTTAAAGTCCCCATTTATCCAGATCTTTTTTTTAAGATTTATTTATTTTTGTTGGAAAGGCAGATTGACAGAGAGAGAGAGAGATCTTTGACCCACATGTGGTTCACTCCCCACATGGCCACAACAGCCAGAGCTGAGCTGATTCAAAACCAGGAGCCTCTTCCAGGTCTCCCGCACGGGTGCAGGGTCCCAAGGCTTTGGGCTGTCCTCGGCTGCCTTCCCAGGCCACAAGCAGGGAGCTGGATGGGAAGTGGAGCAGCCAGGACTCAAACTGGCATCTCTATGGGATGCCAACATTACAGATGGCAAATTCACCCACTGCACCCCAGTGTGCCAGCCGCCTACCCGGGTCTTGGACTGAACTCTGTGGCAGATGGGACCGCCTAGGCCCCGGTCCTTACTGCCCCCATCCTGTTCCACAGAGTCGGAGCGGCTCCTGACCCCCAACGCCGGGTATGGGACCCAGATGACAGCGGGGGCTTCCCCGGCCCCTGCCACCCCCCTGGAGGAGGAGGACCTGCGGCGGAGGCTCAAATACTTCTTCATGAGCCCTTGTGACAAGTTCAGGGCCAAGGGACGCAAGCCGTGCAAGCTGATGCTGCAGGTGGTTAAGATCCTGGTGGTCACTGTGCAGGTTAGCTCCACTGAGTGTCCCCTGCCCCGCCACCGTGACCCTGAGCCCCCCTAACCCTGAGCCTGGAAAGAGCGCCATAGGAACAGAGCTGACTCTGCTCGCCCCCTTCCCCCATAGGGTCAAAGTGAGCAGGCAAGGAGCCCTCTAAGATCCTTGTGTGTAGAGGGGGGACGGCGGCAGGGGCGCGGGAGAACAGTGTCCTGGCAGCTGTTATGGCCCCCTCCTGGGATGAGCCAAGCCCACCGAGTCTCAGAGAGGTTGCAGGTCCTGGGCCAAGTCACATAGCAGAGCCCCGGGGACCTGGACAGATGTTTGTCTCTCTCTGTCTCTCTCTCTCTCTCTCTCTCTCTCTCTCTCTCTCTCTCTCTCTCTCTCTCTCTCTCGCATGCTAGCCCCTGGGGGCAGGAAGATGGGTGACAACTGGGCACTGCTTGCAGTTGTTGTTTCTGAGGCGGGCAGGGCTGTGACCCCACCCCTCCCAGTGAGTTCCCATCTTCTGATTTCCCACCCCCCTGTCCCCAGTACCCTCTCCCTGGGTTGCCTCCGCCGCCTGGCATCCAGCATACAGGGCCGGTGTCCAGACACACGTTTAACGTCCCAAAGAACAGAGGTTCGTTTTGGATCATAGTTCTGGGCCAAGGTCGCACGGGCTGGCCTCTCTGGTCACAGTCACCCCGCTGGCATAG